CAATTGAGGCACCATGGGCTAGGAAACGCTTTCCCCATTCCTTGGGACAGAGTCCTTCTTGCCAACAGAGCAGCTCCATGGAAGTTGGTTGAATGGAACTTTATTGGGTTTGGCTAGTTGCCAAAGGACAGGCACAGATGGCAAACACTGCTGGATTCCCAAGGCTAGGAAAACCATGATTCTGGAGAGGAAAGGCTTCATGAAGTATGACTATAGACTAAAAACACATCCCTCCTTTCAAGTGTGCATTTTATCCAACACTTTACTGCACATTACTCTGTGTAATACCGTGTTGGGTCCTAGAGACATATCATTGAGCAAGTCATATAGATGTGACTTTATAACTCTCCCAGATACTTTTTCTGTGAATTGGAAATAAGCAGGGAGTGCCAGGACATAGAGCTGAAGGAGCAGTGGACAGGGAAACCAAACAGACTTCTAGATCAGAAAGAATTATGTTTCTGGACCAAAGCTCTAAGCAATAGTGTGCAAAGCCTTGTCTGAAGAAGCCTGCAGGTGGTCTCAGCTTGCTGTCTGCTTTATTGCATCTTAACTTGCAGGCTCCTGCCAGTATCATTTTCAGGGTCTGGCCTGCCACAAACCACCCAGCTTCTCAGCCACTTTATTTCTGGTACTCATTCTTCACTTACCCATCCCTCTACCAATGCATCCATTATCTGATATCAGTACAGTCGTAAGCACATAGTGTACATTGATCACATTCATTCCTCCTTTCTTTCATTCTTATCTCAACTGCCCTGCCCCAGTAAGCATCATTCTATTTTGAGGCCAACTTTTAGGCTCTACGTGAGCTAAGGGTAAGCAATACCTGTCCTTGTGCCTGCCTTCTTTGGTTTCATATGCAGTCCTCCAGTTCCACCCACTTTGCTTAAATGGCCTGATTTCACCCTTCTGAATGGTTGAGTAGTACTATACTGTGTGTGGCTTAATGAATGGACCCCATAGGCTCATATATTTGAAATGTAGGTACCCAGCTGGTGGACTGTTTAGGAAGGATTTGTAGATATGGCCTTACTGGAGGAGGTGTGTCACTGCTGATGGGCTTTGAGGTTTCAAAACCTCAGACCAGACCCAGTCTCTCTGGCTCTCTCTTTTGCATCCTGGCTTCATTTCCTTTGGCTACATATGCAGGAATTTGATAGTTGGATCATATAGCCATTATACAATTAGGTTATTTCCCAGGTGCCCCCAATTCATTTTCCACAGTGGCTGCACTAAGCTGCATTCCCACCACCAATGTATAGCACTCCCCTTTAAAAATAAGACTTCTATTCAGCTGAGTGTTTTCAACAACCATCAATGCTCTTGCAAGCATCTGCAGTTTGTTCCTTAGCATTGCTGAGCAGTACTTGATTGCTAGACTCCAAGATGTATTTTTTTACTCATTTTCCTACAGATGCACACATGGCCTGTTTCTATTTTCTGACTATTAGAGACACACTGCTGTGAGCGGTATTAAAGAAATCATCTTCAGGATATATGTATCCCTTTTCCTTAGGTAAATACCTGGGGGTAGAATTCTCAGTTGTAGAGAAGATGCAGGCTAGCTTTATAAGCAACTGCCAAACTGCTTTTGAAAAGGTTTATGCTCCCACAAGTACATGTGATTACTTTTGCAGTCCTCTACTTTATTCAGCCTTGCCTTGCATCTATGAAATGGATTTGCCTCTGTACTTCTAAGAAGGGCAAGTCTGGCTTTAGGTCTTAGCTGCCCCCACGTTTGATGACCACTAAATGAGCAGTCGCAGAAGTAACTAAAATGTGAGCACCAGCCCTGTGGAATAATCACTTTTATTGAAAGTGCACTGTGCTATTACTGTGTTAAGCAATTTCCATGAAGAATCTTGGTCAGTCCTTAATGACTACTCTGTGCAGTAGGTACAGCAATGTTCCCGTTATACAGGTAAGGACAATGAAACAGATGGTAAGTTACTTGTCCCAAATCACATAGGTGGCCAGTCTGAGATTTGAAACAAATCTTCATAATCCTGCTATTGTCTGTGTTCAAAGGACAGCAGGGGAAAAGTGTTTCTAAGTGGGCTGTCTCATCAGCTTCCACAGTTTACATACACTGAGAAAACAAATGTAGAGATAGAAGAGACTTAGCTAATACGAAAGTCACCAGAATCCAAATATATCATTTTTTTGAGGCAAGAAATGTTTCCATTCCACTGCTCAATTTCTTTCCATGCTTTGAGCAATTCTTGATTTTATTTCTAGCTTTTTAGTGGTGCCAAGGTTCTACAAAGCATTTGGAGATATTATAAAAGAATGAATGCATCTAAAAGAATGAAGGAAGGTTAACTTTCCCTCTGGGGCCAACGTACAGGTTATGAAATGTTGGTTAGATTTGCACCAATTCCTGTCCAGACATTATCTGGAAAATGTCTCCCCTACCCACTCAGTCTTCTCTGAAGAGAAGAAAACAATGTACTGATACGCTTGGGAGCATTCATTCAGTGGGAAAGATGTGGGAAGAGGAAGCCTGAGGTGCACTTGGACTCCCACAGCGCCATCTGGTGGCAGGCTGTAGTTTCCACATTTCTTCAGAATTTTTTGCAACTAGTGAATATTTCTAGTGGCTGGGGTCCAGAGAAGAGGACTCTTTCTTGCTGAGGGGGAGCTAAAATTCCCAAAAGAACAAAGGAGTGGCTGATGCCAGCCAGACCATTATAACACAAGGGTGCTGAAAGCACCGGTACAGTTTGGAATACTCTCTGCTCTTTGTGCCTGCAGAATGAAATGCTTAACACACCCAAGGAAGAAGCAGGGCTCACTTCCCCTCACTTGTACATCAGCAGGGAAGGTCTGCATGTGGGGGTAGCAGGAATCTCCATGACTGCTTCTGAGTTGGAAAATGATACAGGAACATTTAGGGAATAGTGAAATCAGGCCCCAGACCATGAAAGAAATTGTTCCCACAGTGAGTAGTCAGGGCTTTCAATGCTGAAGCAGTTGTGTGCCATCTGTCTCAGTTTTGACTTTGTTCTTGGGCATAATGCTTCAGTGGCTCGTAATTTATCCAGCAATGTTAAATATGTGGCAGGGCCTGATAATCTCCCATTGCATCAAAGCACGAACAATCCTGGGTACCTCTGATGCTCTCCAAACTGCCTGGGACACTGCATGAACAGATCTATTGTTCACCTCCTCCTGCAAACCCTTAATATACCAGGGTATCCAAATTGCATCCATCCATTGCCCATTTCTTCCTCAATCCACTCTGTAGCCAGCAAAGAAGTAACCGTGTTTGAAAGTAGCATAGTGGAGCACAGACAAGAAAACACCAGTTAAGGTGTTATCATGCTAAGAACAGGAATCTAAGAGTGCTTTGCAACTAGTTTCACTGCTCAATACACGTGATAATAAAAACTGATCCCCTGATAAAAGTGGGTCAGAGTGCAACCTGCCAGGGGTTTGGGCCACCCTGCTGACAGACAGCATCAGTGTCTCAGGTATACATGGAATCTCCTGGAGATTTCTGATGTAGGACTTCATTCCACCTAGTCTTCAGGGCTGTTACGGTAGGGGTGTGTGTGTGTGTGTGTGTGTGTGTGTGTGTGTGTGTGTGTGTGTGTGTGTGTGTGTAGAAGAGCACACTGATCTGTGCAAGCAGGCTACATGGAAAATCATACTCCTTGTTACGGGCAAAGTTTGGTGAGGTTCATTCTTGCCTCCTTTGCCTTAGTTTTATACTGGAGGCTTTCAAAGAAGTCTTCCCAGATATTGAACTACAAAAGGGCCTCTGTCTTTTCCAAGTTCCTACAGAAGCAGACTCTTTGGCTCACAGTTATGCTTCTAAGACACACTCAGTATGTTACATGTGATGAGAGCACAAGACATATTGTCTTCTGTAGCATCTGACAGTAGACAAATCTCAGGCGTACTTCCTAAGTGTTATGTACTAAGACAGGGAATCTAATAGGACCAGACTCGATAGGACTTTAAAACTGAAATGCTTTTTTGCTTTCTTAAGGCAGGTCAGAACTGTGCTGGGCTTGTCTTTAAAAATGTCGAGCTGTAAGTGGTGGTGCACACCTGTAATCTCAGCACTAGGGAGGCTGAATCTGGATTCTAAATGTGAGTCAAACCTGGGCTGCACAGAAACTCTCTCACCAAAGGGGAAGTGGCTCAGTGGCAGGCTGCGTGCCTACGAATGTCCAAGACCCTGTTTTTCCAACGTCAGCACCAAATAATAAACTTAAGAGGCTCCAGGCAAGGAGGTGAACCCCTTTAATCCAAGCACTAGGGGGCAGAGGCAGGTGGATCTCTGAGTTCCAGGCCAGCCTGGTCTACAGAGTGAGTTCAGGGACAGCCAGGGTTGTTACAGTCTCTGAACTCTAAATCCAAACATCTTTCCACAAACTCTTCAATAATAGGGAATTCGTTAAGGCTCGTGATGTGCTGGTTAATAGTTTTAAACCACCTGACAGATGAATGAATAGTCAGGTTTTACAGTATTGTCAGGAGAGCCAGTGTAAGGTATTGCTCTAAACACTGGACACGGATTACTTCTTTCCAATTGTCCTAACAACCCTATGGAGTAGATCCCATTATCAATCCACTCCATTTTTCCAGAGAGAAAATTGCCACTCTGGAATGTTAATTTGCCCAAAGTGACCAAACCAGAGTTTCAAAAACAAAAAACAGAGACCATTAACATAATATTTATGTCTGTGTATCCTCATATTAACTCATATTTCTATGTAAACATTAGCCTAAAGTTAATGATTACTTAACAGAATTTACCAATTCATACCTCTTAACTATGCTATGTCCTACAGTTTAAGTTTTACAACATATTCAACTCACTGTATTAAAGTAATCTCTCTGGGTTCAAAAAAAACCCAACTAATAGATAGATAGTGTTTAAATATGCTAGGTTAAGCACTTAATACTCAAACATACTATTTAAAAGCCTACATAACACTCCAATGTACAGATTTGCATGTCGCCACTGTAAGTAAAAACAAATAGGCTTGATAACACAGGTGGATTTATTTCATAAGATTCAAGTGCAAACTTGAAAATAAGAACAAAGCTTTTCAAGAGTAAACACAACAAATCTAAACAACAATCCTACAATCATGCATTTTAACAGAAAGTACAAACATGAATACAAAGTTTGTAACTACATTCAAAATTAAAATTATTACTCTCCAGGTCCCAAATGTCATACAACCTTTAACCTGTTCTCAGCTTGTTACTGTAGAAACATTTGTCATATGCAATCGGGAAAGTATAGGCAAAGATTACTAATCAGTCTCTATGAACAAAGAGAAAGGACTCTCCCTCACTTCAGACTATATGAATCATTCCCCTGTATTTCATAAAATCATACCTTCAGTCTACATAAAAAAGTACAAACAGTAAGGAAATAAGACCCTCTCATGTAATTAAAGCAAAAATCATGAGTGTTCAACTTAGAAATGTATACACTTATAAGCAATATTAAGTACAGCTTTACTTGATGGCTGACATGTAATAATTGTGAACAATTTAAATAGGTATAAAAATGGAGATCAAAATCTGTAGGCTCAAATACTTAAAAAGTCACCATGAATATGGAAAATACTTCTGTTTACATAAACATGTATATTTCTGATGAAAAGTCAGGGGGGCAGTGGCATCTCCCTGGTCCCTTAACATGTTTGGATTTTCATGAAGAATTAATTAGCAGCACCCAACCTTAAGTGTTAATTACGTGATTCTTAAGGACCTAGTCAACAGATTAGTTGGCAGTGTTCCAGCTTTCGGGAGATGGGGTGGGTAGGGTGCAAGTATCTGAAGTAACATAGTATGCATGCACTCACATTTAAAAATCACCATTCCAAATGGAAACACATATTGGGAGAGCCTAAGAAAACAACCCTTAAAGGACTGCCAGGGGGCAGGAGTAAATAGAAGCTGAACAGTAGTCTACTTGATAATAATGTCGTTTCACACTTCGAAGGCAAGTTGGGAAGCATGAGAATACTCACATATAACTTCAGGGAAAACTTGCCTCCAACTTGATTTTGTGGAACACTAAAAAGAAACTTTTTACAAAACCTTCGCTGTTGCTTATGACACCTGATGATTTTTCTCTTTATTACCACCATATACAGAACAATTAAATAATTTCTTTATAAATATTTTAGAGCGCAAAGAATTCAGTTTGTTGCAGTGGTGGCCCACATCTGTACAACACAATGTAAGCAACATATATATATATATATATGTATACATATATATACACGTGTGTGTATAAAATGATTACGAAAAAGTGCAAAGAATAACAGTATTAAGAATTTTTACTTTTTACAGTAACTATGGTTCAAGTGCGAATATCTATCAAGAATATATAATCCCAGACTTTAACTAAAGATTTAAAAAGAAACCCACACCCCAAGTTACTGCACAGACAGTCCTTAATCAAGTAACCCTGCCCTTCTCCCAAATCTAGCAATTCCAGTCTCTAACCCTCCATAAACAGGAAAGTGGTAACAGTGTTTGCTTCCCTTCAACTTCCCCAGGCTCATCCAAGACAATTAATCACCCGTAGGTTTGAATGAGGTTTCTGAGGAAGCCATTTATCATAACCCGCTTTGCTGAAATTAAAGCAAATGAAAGGCTCTCTGAAATGCACACCACTGATCAATAATCCAATCGGCAACAGCAAACAGACCATAAATTACAAATGTAATTTAATACAAGCACATTTTAAAATCAAGCCCCATTATCAAAGAGAAATTCAGTCTAAATCTCTCTTTCCTCCCCAGGTTCAGTGCTATACAGGGTCCTAATCCTGAATCTTTATGATTCCATGGATTTTCTAACAGAAAAACAGTGTATCTTGTTGAATTTTGATGGACTCTGTCATTTCTCTCTTAGTCTCTGTCTTTTACTAGATCACATACAGAAAGGTCACTTTTACAAAGTGTACTTTCCTCTAAAGACATTCAGATAATTACAGTTGCTGATTTTAGTTCTCAGGCACCCAAAGGAACAGGTGAGCTTCCCTTCAAACATCTCACTAGATATTTTTGGTATGTATGTTGTTTAATTCTTAACTTCAGGCACTGTAATTATTGACAATATTGCAATGTTCTATGTCTAACCTACATGACAATTATGATCTTAAAGTAATACCTTCTAAGATACTGACTCCAGATTATATTACAACTGATGCTTTCCCTTCAAGGCATGGTTGGAAGAGAATTTGAAAGTCTTGTGGTTCTTCTGCTTTGAGTAGTGTTAATACACAATTTTGTCATGATTACTACTGAAACTTCTGAACTAGGAAAACAATAGACACCGGAAGCTGTAAATTTCCTCAACTGCATCTACTTCAACCCCAGTTCACTTACTTTAGCATGAAGTATCTTTTCTTTATAAAAACAAGTGTATCTAAGGCAAATTTTTAAAAACAGAATTTCTGCTCTAAAATTAATACAGCTAAAGGGAAATGTCTTTTCAATTTCAGCTTCACTAGAATTATGCAAAACTAAGTTAAAGTAGACGCAAGTATTTTAACCACTTTTGGTTGTTTTTTGTTTTGTTTTCATATGTCTTTAGAAGATATACCTTGCATCTAGCAGGTCAATAAAGGCTTAAAGTCTAGAACTGAAAAACCTTCAGGCCACCTCCTGTCCAAATGTAAGTAAGAGTGACATTTTTATTTGCCCCCATACATTCGCTCAATGTCCTTGAGATAATGGTTCTTCAATTCCTTCCTTTTCAGCTTGAAGGCATCTGTTACCAAACCAGTTTCAGGGGTCCATGGCTCTGGGCTTAATCGAACCTTGATTGGAATTTCAAATCGCTCCAAGTTCACTAAAAAAAAAAAAAGGAGGAGAAGGGTAGGAGAGTCAAGGAAAGTATAGAAAGGAGGAAGGGGAGAAAAGAAGAGAAAAACAATGAACAAAACACAAATCTTTCAGAAGTGACAGTCTAGATGATGCAATGAAAGAGAAAATATATTTACTGGTATGTCGGACAGTTACTAACAATATGACCACCTTTCTCAAGATCTGCAGAAGCATTTTTGCTCACACAGACACACACAACATCTTCCTCGTCACAGCCCTCACAGTGCTGTTCCTCTGCCTGGGATGGCTTTCCATCCAGATATCTATTAACATCCAGAATTCTCCTAACTACTTGTAACAAAAAGGAAGACTAGATATTTTTGTCCCCAATATATTTTTCTTATAGTATGACTACACTTTGTTCAATGCCTGTATTTCCTTCAAAGATATTACATATTTGTCTCAACCAGTACAACACAAACTCCATGAAATTAGGGTCTTTGTTTTATTGATTGTAACTCATAGATTAGATCAAGAGCCCTCAACAAAAAATACATATGAGCCGGGCATTGGTGGCGCACGTCTTTAATCCCAGCACTGGGGGGGGTCAGAGGCAGGCGGATCTCTGTGAGTCTGAGGCCAGCCTGGTCTACAGAGCAAGTGCCAAGACAACCCCCAAAGCAATATAAGAGAAACCCTGTCTCAAAAAATCAAACAAAACCATACTAATCTATTAAATTATTCCATAAAAAGTAAAATCTCTCAAAAAATATCTCTTATAGTTGTGTTATATAATCAAATGTGAACCAAGATGGTATTTATTTGGAATAATGATGGTATTTATATGGTGTAAGACCAGACACAGTACATGTATATGTTGTGTAAGAGCTATACAACATGTTTGGGGAAATATAAGAAATCAAGAACATAGAGATAACTGCCTGTGGCATACACCTCTAATCCCAGTCACTCAAGAGGCAGAAGCAGGTAGATCTCTGTGAGTTTCAGAATATACAATGAGACTCTGTAAAATGAAAACATCAATAATAGAAAAGAACAGAGTATTATATTAGCCTATTTCTTACAATCCCCCAAGGTATATGTATTAACATAAGCTCATTCTTAAAATTCTGAAGGTCAAACATGTTACCCTGCATGCAAGCTTGATTTTTTTTTGTGGAATGACTTAAAAATAACACTTGTGCATCTTTACAAAGCTACTACCCAGCAGCCTTTATGACATTAGAAACCACTTTAAAGGATGTAATGCTGAATATGAAAAATAATCTCTCATATATTATTTAGCATCATGTTACCCCCAAGTAATGCCTAGACAGACAGCAGAAGAACAAAAACTTGCCTGAATTAACAATGTCTGCTCTAATCTTATATTATGACTCAGTTACCAAAGGGTACCTGAAATGTTTGCTCCCTGGATCACAGCTGGATCTCAAGGGAAATTAACTACATATTTGGCTCCAAAACCCTTTTTACTTTCCCTACTCACAAAGGTCTAATTCCTTAAAACACTGACAAAATTGGTAGGTATACCATTTCAGTTTATGCAAGTCAAAGAAAGCCTATTTTTAAAATGTTCCCATATTTCATCATTATTAGCTAAAATGCCATGTAAAGTATAACAAAAAAGGAGGCCTTTAGGGGTTTTATTCTGGGAATTCCCCATCACTGTTCTGTATTGAGGACAGGAATGAAGAACAAATAATTTTACATGCATATTTTCTCTGAATAAACCTGAGCATTCTAAAGCATTACCTGCAGGTGGCAGCATATAAGTGGTCTTTGTTTTGAGGGGGGAGGACCAACAAATAGACAGACAGACAAAGTGAGTGAGTGAGTATATTACAAGTGTGTAACCCATGTAGGACAGTGGAAGGAACTGGATTCCCCGGAGCTAGAGCTACAGGCTCATGATTATCATTCAGTATCCAAATCGTATGTATTTACTGAAAAAACTGTAGGCATTAAATAGGATACTGACATTATATAGCTACCGACAGTGGGGGCCCTAGAAGGCAGGTAAATAGAGTCAGGGGACTTCACTTACTTCCTTATCATTTTCTATATTGTCCACTATTTCACAATTACAGCTAACTGATAATTAGGATAATTGTTACTTTCATCTTTAAAATAAAACAACAGACAAAAATAGGTAAATAGCTTGCAGTTCAACATATGGAATACAGCATTCCTCTCTACTGTGCCTGATAAATAAATACCCTAAAATAACTTCTTTACTTAGGAAGCAGAGGTAAGAGGATCAATCCAAGTTCCAGGCTATCTTGATAATAATTTTTGGATGAAAAAAGTTAGTGACTACAGTGAAGCACATGAAGCAAGCACAAAGGCACTGGATGGGAAAGTTCAATTATGTTTAGAGAAAAACAAAAGAATCACTGGTAACTGAGTCAGAGAGGGCTAAGACAACTGCCAACTAGAACGGATGTGTCTTCCATGGAAGGCCTAGAGCAGGAAGCCCTGAGCACTGGATGCCTCTGAAGATAAGGAGGAAGGGTGACACAAACAGCAGGACATTTGATACTCAGGTGCTCTCTCTCTGTGCTGACTTTCCTGAACCAGGCTGTTTTTTTTTAGACTCAAGTACATGAGGTCCAACAGAGCTGGAGAATAAGGCTGCCAAAAAAGAAGGATTCGGTGCAGTTTTACTATGAGATTATTGGCAGTAAGATTAAGACCATCTACATAGCAGATTAGAGGCTTTGTGAGAGAAATGGAGTGGTCCAAAAGGGAGGAAAAAAGAAGACTAACTTATGAGTGATTTTTCAGAGAAGCCCAGGAGGCTTTCCAAAGTATTTTCAAGTAACTGTCTTTAAAATAGTAATGAACACAGAAGCATCAGAAGAAACTAGCAGATGCCATGGTTCTAATGACCATTCATTATCCAATTCTTTGTGTGACTTAATATCCTGAAAACTTAGGTAAATCCTCTGGAATGTCTAAAAAGATCCCTAGCCTTCACCAACCCAATGGCTAAGAATGTCATCAGGTCTATATCAGACATTTGCCTACTTTGCTGTAAACCTGCCTGCCTGATATATTCACTAGTATATGTGAAGTGTTTTGATTCATGATATTCTTTAATAATTCTTTTGAACATATCAGAGGTAACCTAAATCTGTCTAATCCAGGACCATGACCACTCACGTTTTGCTCCAAAAGGAACAATCACTTATTCTCTTTGAAAAGAAAAGACTTTGAACCCAAACTAGTGAGAAAAGATAAAGAAGGTCGCTACGTACTGACGAAGCAAACGCCCCAGCAAAAGGACATCTCTAAACAGGCATGGTCAAAAAACAGATGCAGCAATTTCATGAAATTCTAGTGGATGGAAAGTCAGATTCATCTCAGCACAACTGTGATTGGTGACCGTAATACCCAACTCTCAAAAAACAAAAAATTGCCGGGCGGTGGTGGCGCACGCCTTTAATCCCAGCACTCGGGAGGCAGAGGCAGGCAGATCTCTGTGAGTTCGAGGCTGGGCTGGACCGATAGCCTCCAAAACAATACAGAGAAACCCTGTCTCGTAAAAACCAAAAAAAAAGCCAAAAAACAAAAAATTACACATTTCTTAACTGATACGTTGATTTTATATACACATAATACTTGAACTGAGATTTTAGAGAGTTGGGAGAGAAATATTTTAAGGAGGCCTAATGGAAGTTAGATGGAGTAGATATGACCAAGATGCATTGTATACATACATGAAGTTTTTAGAGTAATGTACAAAATATTTGTTAGGTGACTTTTGTGGACTTCAAGGGCTTGACAATTTCTTACTTACTAGCATTTGCAGCTTCTCGGATTTCTCTCAGTATTTCAGCTTCCATGGCAGGGTTATTGCAGATATCAACCCAAGATCCCTCTACCCCTTTCTGTTGTGCCAAAAGGGTCAACCTCTTCTGGTTAGGAACCACAAAACTGATCACATAGGACTGGTCACTGAAATTTTAGATGGAAATCAAAATGAGCAAAATGACTCACAAGATATTCAATGTAACAATACAGCAGACATCATTCAAAATATACATAGTATATATTAATAAAAAAGAAAATGGCTCAATTTCACAGGCTTTTAACTTAGAAAACATGGACTGAAAGCTTACCCCATTATCTACTACCTATGTAAACTTTTGGGGAAATTAATCATGCTAAGTCTCAGTTGTTAAGGATCCTACATGAAAGAACTTGTGGCATAGATAGACTTGTAGCAAGACATGGTAGACGTCTAATAAAAACTACAATAAATGTTACTGAAATGATCTTCATGCTGCTAAATAAATTCAAGAATGATGGAGGATGTTCTTCTGTATATGTTTCTCTTTTTGGTTAATGAATAAAACACTGATTGGCCAGTAGCCAGGCAGGAAGTATAGGCGGGGCTACCAGATGAGAATTCTGGGGAGAGGAGGCAGAGAGAAGCTGCTGAGAGATGCCATGTAGCAGCCAAAGGAGTAAAATGCTGGAACATTCTCTGGTAAGAGAAGGCCATGTAGAAATACATAGATTAATAATTATAGGTTAATAATAAAGAAAGAGCTAGCCAGTAAGAAGCCTAAGCCATCAGCCAAACAATTTATAATCAAGTATCTGTGTGTTTATTTGGGGCAAAGCGGCGGTGGGACCAGGCGGAAAGAAACTCAGCCTACACAAGAACTTTCATGTTTATTTTCCCAACCCAAATCAAAGTTCTAAGAGGAATTTGATGGTACCTACATGCTTATAAACAATCAAATTTATTTTATAATGTTCCTTTTATTCTAAGTATATGAAACACAAAACACAACTACTCTTTGACTGGTGAGATAGTGATCAAGCCTGATACCCAAGTTTGTTCTCCCGGATGCCCATGGTAATAGGAGAAAACTCACACAAGTTGTCTCAAATGAGCTCCCCTCAACAAACAAATATAATATTTAAAAAAATAAGTTACCAGCCTGGCAGTGGTAGCACACACCTTTAAACCCAACACCTGGGAGGCAGAGGCCAGCCTGGCCTACACAGCTAGTATTAGGATAGCCAAGGCTACACAAAGAAGTCCTGTCTCAAAAAAAACAAACAAAAATGAAGTACCTTTTAGCAAAAGCACAGATGTTGTCAATCAGTGGACAATTCTTCAGTGCTGCTTCTACTTTTCCAAGAGATACATATTCGCCGGCTTGTAACTTCACAAGATCTTTCTTACGATCTGTAGTCAATAAAAAAAAATATGGATCCTCAAGTTAAAGTCAGACATTGGTTGTTTTCTCTTGGAGGCCTGCTCTTTCCTGAAGGAAGATGAAGGGGAAGTGCATTGGGGAAGAGGGGAGGAGGAGCAGCTGGGAAGAGTGGAGGGAGGGGAAAGTGTGGCCAGATATATTGTATAAAAGAGGAGTCTATTTTCAGTTAAAAAAAAGTACAGATCCATGGTTGGTTTCATTATGGCATATACAATTCTGACTTTCTTTCAATTGTATTGCCTTAGTCTTTATATACAAAGACATTTCTTCTAAAATCTTGCTATGTATATTATTTTCCCATACATATCACTAAAAGTACCTCAAGTATTATTATACTTAAAGATACAGCAGGTGTGTAAGGCAAGAGCAAGGTAAGTTCCAGGCCAGTGTGGTTTCCACAGTGGGTTCAAATCCAGTCTGACGTTTCTAGGAAGAGTCTGTTGCAAATCAATTGTCTCCAATGGAGTGTCACTGGGCATATCAACAACATACCAGGGAGGCCCCATCCTTAGGAGTAGTTAGCCAACTCAAAAAGTATTTTTGTTACTCTAACCCCCTTTTTGAAAGGGTGCTAGTCTGTGAGAGCACACAGTAGGGTGGGTAGGGAGGTAGGTAAGATTTGGGAGGACTTGGGAGAGGTAAAAACATGATCAAAATACATTGCATAAAAATGTTAAATAAAAATGATCTTCTCATATTCCTGATCACAGAGCTTGGAGCATTAGATTAGAATAGGAACTTGTCTGGTACAGGCTATGCAATGCTTGGCATTTCAGTTAACCTCTCTCCACCTCATTTAGATTACGGATAATGGTGCCTACCTCACAGAAGCATGTCATAGTATCTTGCATATAAAACATTTCCCTATTTGACATTTTCTTTGCAAAGTGACAGTGCTATAAGAAAGTACTGTCATAGGATGGCTCAACTTGCAATCATAGTCACTTGAAATCCTTTGTGTGAATGATGTGTTGTCTACCAACAGCAATAGTAGGAAGACAGAAGAGTGGGAGGATGAGGGAGGAGGGCTGTGAGCAAAATGCACTGTGCTCATGTATAAAGCAAACTGGGTTTCTAAAAAAGACTATGCTAGGTACTTTTCTACAAAAGACCCATTCTGACATTCTACCACAGCTAACAGCTTCCTTTTGCATTTTAAACCTGCAGCAACAGTGTGAAAATCTTGTACACATGCACAGTATACAAGCATTTCCATGTTAATGATATCTATTTGGATCACAATTGTTTACTTTTTGTCAACAATATACAAATATAAGGTTGCATACATGGTATGAGCATAACAAACAAAATTAATTATCTAACACAGAGAGAGACAGAGAGAGAGAGAGACAGAGAGAGAGACAGAGAGAGAGACAGAGAGAGAGAGACAGACAGACATGGTTGGTCTATGAAGTGCCTGCCGTGAAAGCATAAAAGCTGAGCAGTGGTGTGTATGTAGTGTATGTATATGCCTAGTCCTGTGGGAAGAAAAGGCATATAGACAGGTAGATTCCTGAAACTCATCTGCCAGGGAGCCCAGACAAATTGATGAGTTCCTCCAGGATCAGTGAGACACTGTCTCAAAAGAAGGCAGTAGGTGATCCAAAAAGCCACCCAACACCTCAACTTCTGGCCTTCTTGTTTACCTACACTACACATCGATGTGTCCATATACATATAAACAAGTACAAACACCATAAACACACAAATTGAAGAAAGGCCAAGAGTGGTGACACATGGTTCCAACTCCTACTCTTTTAGGAGTTTGAAGCAGGAGGCTGTGACTTCAAGACCAGGTTGCACAACCTAATATAACATGTTTAAAAAACAATTGGTGTTTGTAGGCATGCGGCCACTCCACTTGACTTTCGGAGAGGTGTTTGGAATCTGAGTTCTGGTCTCCATGCTTGAATGGCAGGTGCTTTACCCATTGGCCCACCCTCAGCCTTTTGCTTATTGTTTTCTATATTTATGAGATGTTGCGTGCGTGCATGCGTGTGTATGTGTGTATGTACTTGTGAGCTATGGCATGCGTGTCGATGTCAAAAAATAACTTGCCAGAGTCAGTTCTCTACTTCTCTTATATGGGAATGTATGGGAGTCAGGAATGGAATTCAGGGTGTTTAGATCAGTGGTAAAATTCTTTATCTGAGTGGTACATGTTTATACACACACACACACACACACACACACACTCTGTAAGGTAATAATTATAAATAATATATATATAGTAAGGTAAAGTTTATATATACGATACATCTACTGTAAGGCACAGTTTCAACTTGAATCTTTTATATATGGGGAGCCTCTTGTCTCAGCAACATTTGTTTATTACATTTATTGTATTAATATGGATATTTATAATGGCTAAACTTGGTTGTAAACTTGACACGCCTGGAAAGAGAGACCTCAGCTGAGGAACTGCCTCCATCAGACTGCCCTGTGAACACCTCAATGGACAATTTTTTTATTATTAATTGATTGACAAGAGTATAGTCCACTGTAGGAGGTGCCACCCCGGGCAGGTGGTCCTGCCTTATAGAAGAGGGCAGGCTGAGCAGAAACAGGGTTAATGTGAGTAAGTAGCAGACCCCCAGGGTTCCTGCTCCAAGTTCCTGGCCTGCATTCTCTCACTGATACCCTATAACCTGTAAACTGTTCCCTGCCCAAGTTACTTTTGGTAAAAGTATATTTCACAGCAACAGACAGAAAATAAGAGCAACCATGTTTTATCTTATAATTTGTGGTTTTGCCTCAATATTTAAAAATTTGACCATACTTTTTCTTGACTTTTGTCAGTGATATCATGTAGTACACATACATGTTCTTACCTGCTTTCTCTAATTAGAAGGGCTTAAGTTAATCTAGGTATATGCAGATTTATAAAGTATAAGAAATCATCTGAACCTACTGTTTAATTTACTGTTATATTGTTGGTAGCCTTGTCAACATCCTCTATAATGATTTGGATGCATTTTTATTTATTCATTGGAAATTTCCATTTCCTGGTAAAATATATCTAATAATTCTATCATAATTTTGAAAGTATCCAAGTAGCAGGATTTTTCTTCAATTTTTAATGTTTCATTTCCTAGCATCACAATCTGATGAATATTTTGTTTGCTTTTAGAGATGTTGAGAATTCATGGTTGAGTTTATTTTCCCCATTAATTAAATTTTTGTATCATTTTCATGATAATTAAAATGGAAAGAAATTGATTCTCTTGTGTTATAAAGGCTAATAAATACAGTTTCTTCAATAATCCTAGAACCTTCATCCAGTGACTGATGGAAGCAGAGACAGATACCCTCAGCTAAACACTGAACTGAACTCCTGGAACCTAGTGACAGAGATGGAGGAGTGATGAGCAAAGGGGTCAAGACCATGATGGTGAAACCCACAAAGACAGCTGACCAGATAAGGGGGGAGCTCTTGAATCCCAGACTGATGGCTGAGAGGCCAACAGGGGACTGATCCAGACTCCATGAATGTAGTGCCAGTGAGGAGGCCACAGAAATCACTGGGGCCTTGGGTAGTAGATCAGTTTTTACCATGGTGTATAAATGATCTTTGGGAGCCCATTCCAAATAGAGGGATTCTCTCTCAACCTGGACACATGGGGAAGAGCCTAGGTCCTGCCCTGGATGAAATGACAGACTTTGGCGATCCCCCCCTAAGGAGGGCCACACCCTCCCTGGGGAATGATGTGGGGATTGGGTGGGGAGCTGGGGGAGCTGGGGGAGGGACAAGGGAGGAGGGGTGGGAGAGGGAGCTGGGATTGACATGTGAAGCATTCATGTTTCTAATTTAAATAAAATCATATATTGAGGGATAAAAAAAACAATTGGTGTTGGTAGAGAATAAAGGAGAGCTTAGGCTGTAGGTTCATAATATAGTACTTTAGTACTCCTCTAGAAATATCATATGAGACTCTAGCTTTGCTCCCCAATAGATGAGGATAAGAACTATGAAGGTGTATCAAGCAATAAAAAAGTTTACCAGAGATGAAGACAAAACGTCCCAGGACATCTCTAATTACATTCTGCTCAGATACTGAGACGCTCAGTAGCAGAGTAAATGACTGGATGAATACAGGACTGGAAGACAGGACAGACCCTGTGGAGTGGCACTTACAGCTAAATAGTGTTTAAACCCTTTCCTGTTTAAAGTGAACATAGTATTTCCTTTGGAGTCACTTTTGGAGTTTTTTTAATGTAAATGTTTACTTCTATAAGACCATAAAGAAACACACATTTTCAAAAGAATAGACTGATTCTGAAGATTGAAATGATCATTTTCAAAACTCTCATGGACAGTAAGAGCCAATAGAAACAGGAAATCATGGATGTATGGTGATCATTGAGAAACAAGTGGGAGGCAAGGCATTAAACCGTGTATTTATGTCTAACAGTAAATAGTTAGAGACTCCTGCAGAGTTAGGCAAACAAAGCAGACCTTCACTCTTTTCTAAATTAGTTTGTATTCCAATTACTGAATCAACTGTTCATTTTCCCCACCTCAAACACTTCTACTACTTAAGAATATGCAGGCACTGCTCTGAACAGTTTACATTTATGAACTCACCCTGTGAGGTTGGGGATACCTCTGTTTCACAGATGGAGCTCAGGCACAAGAGCGTACGTAAGTAACTTGCAGAAAGTTGTAACCAATCAATCCATCAACCTTGCTGATGACCTATCCTGCATTCCCTTTCAGGCGCACTGAAGTCACAAAATGAACGCAACTAAAGAAAAAAGAATTCACTGACCTATAATCTGTAAGCAACCATCAGGGTGGAATTCTCCAATATCACCAGTGCAAAACCACCTCTGTCCATTTTCATCCACAGAATAATCTTCTGCTGTTTTCTCTTCATTTTTAAAATATCCCATGGAGATATTCTGCCCACCAATCACGATTTCACCTCTGGGGTTTGGCTTATCATGAACTGTATAACCACCTAGAAATATTTTTTTAAAAAAATCACTTGTTATCCTAAAACAAAATTCATCTTCTTTTATAAATTCTTCATTACAATTACCCAAACCTTTGATGACACACATAATTAAAGCTGAGTTCAGACAAATTGTAAGCTGAAACCATCCCAAAGAAGAGCAATACTTAAAGCTGTTGCAAGTAAATCACCAATGTGATGCTATCAACACTTCTCAGACTTTATGCTCAGAAGTTTCAGTCAAAGACAACAGACAACAAGTACCTAAGGAAATCAATAGCACTAAGCAAGGGAGAAGTGGAGGCCATGGGAAATGGTATGGATTTAAACAGTGGCCAGACAATTACTGTCTGGTAGTTATTATCAATTCTTTGTGGCATGGCAAGGCTGCATAATTATGTGTCTATTTAATAATCTACAGTAAGTATGTATATTTAGCATCCTTTATCATGTCCATCATAGGAAAATTGGTTTACTTCTTTCTCCAGCTCATTATAAAAAGAATTATCAATAGTATGTGTGTGGTTCTGGCTTCCTCTAAATGCCTTGCCTCTATAACTATTTGTGTAAACATTTACTGTACAAACAGCTACATAGATGCGTCTTGACTGTAGAAATCTTCTAGGGTCAAGATTTTGTGGTATATACGTGTGTACTTAGTCTCTCTGCCACCTGAAAATCCAGGGTTTCTCTTTGAGCCCCAATATCATCACTAGCAGAGCTGAGATTCAAGAGGTGCCTCATCTTCTCCAAACCCAGGAGAAGCTCCAATTAGAATCTTTTCCCCACCTTGCCCATCAAGTATTTCCTAAATTCAAAACCACAGCGGCTACAATCTAGACATTTTCCCCACAGAGCACAGAAAAGTCATAGGGAACAGGCAAAACAAAGGATCACTTGTTATGACTGACAGCCTCTCATTTCAATGAAACAGAAGTCCTGAGGCTCCAAGTGGTTCCCAAGGCATCTAGGGTCACTAGAGCTTGTGTGAAACTCTTACCTTCCTGCCAGTCTTTCAGCTTAATTTCACAGCAAATAAGAGGAGCTCCAACTCTTCCAGTAGTATAGTCAGTAACTATGGGAGAAAGGCAACAACAACATTAGTTCCAAGTCACCAGAAACACTGAGTCTAAACAAATGACGGAAGAGGTCATGGGGGGGGGGGGAGGGGAGGTGCCAACTCCTCATTTTTCAGTGTTTGGACTCCATTTCCTCAGTGCATCCTTGCTTTTCAGGGCTGAGTTTCCGAAAATTACATTAAAAAGTCTGTTCCAAGTGAAGGACTAGGTACACCATTATCTATGTAGGAGTCTGCTAAGACAGAATGTGATGAGAATTCCTGCTGTTACCCACTACATACCTCAGATGAACTATCTTTAGCCTTCATTTCTTTACCTATAAATACACTGACTTCATATAAGTACATACTGTGGAGATTAAATGTGTTTACTACCACTCGTCACAAATACAATTTTATTTGTCCTCAAACATCATCATCATGATCCCATTAGCCCTTGACAATCTGTGACTACTCTTAGCAATAATTCCATCTTAACAGATGGTTTATGAACAAACCCAGCCCTCAGAGACTTTACCAGCAAACTACTTAGAGAGAAATGTATGTGAAACACTATAGAGAATGCTTAAATCCTCATTTACCTGTACAAGTATGACATAAATTAGTTGAGGAGCTTAAAGGATGTCAGTCAAAAGGGAGTTAGATATGAGATAACCAAGAAATACAAGACAACTAAGGAAACTGCGGCTGTCTTGGACGTTGTGTATCCTGGTAGTGATAATTTCCTTTGTGGTTAGATGTGCTTGAGGCTGTATAGGTTGTCCCTGCTGCATCAAAAGCTAAGGGGCCAGGTTTCCCACAAGGTGCAAAAATCAAGGATCCTCCAGAAACTTTGGCAATATATTTTGATGATACTCTTTCCCCTCCCAACTCCTCCTCATCTTGATATCCACCTGACTCCATAAACCAACAACAAAAAAATAAAATATTCAGGGAACATTGTGGAAGACAAACAAAATCCACTAAGACCACCCTCTCCCCAAAATCGCACATACACACATAAAATGAGTCCATTTTGTGTTGGTCAGCTACTCCTGGGCATAAGGCCTGTCCTTGAGTGTAATAATCTACTGAAGAAAACTTTTCCTTTTACCAGGTGGTATCAATTGGGTTGAACTCAGACTAGAACATCATGTACAAACTCACACAGGTTCAAACCAGAAAAAAATTCCTACATCCCCAGTGTTTCTCAACCGGGCTTGATTTTTGTGTGCTAAGAAGATATGTGGCAATATTTGGATATGTTTCATTTTGACAGCATGGGTGAACAAGTTACTACTAGTAATGTTACTGTTAACACCCTTCAGTGGATGAGAGAGAATGCAAAAACAAAGAATTGTGCATTGCAAAAATGTGAATGGGGTCAAGGCTGAGACATCCTGCCTTTGGGAACTGAAGGCAATAGAAGACAGAACAAAAAAGAGGGATGTAAGAGGGACACTTCATTCCAAGATCACAACTGTGCAAAGTGATTGTTAAGACCATGCTATCATGAAACTTTCTATTGTGTGCGCACCCATAGATTTGTGTTGCTCTCAATTTTGCTAAGAGAATCTTCTTTTTGCAGTGGATAATGGTTAATGAAGAGACTCAGAACTGCTTAAAGTGCCTAGTGTAAATAGCTGTGAGAATTCGATCATGGAGGAATCATCTACAGGAGTGAATCTCAACCTCTGGGTCATGGCCCTTTCAAGAATCTTCTATCTCCAAAAATATTTACATTATGATCCATAACAGAAGCAAAATTATAGTTATGAAATAGCAACATGAGGAACTGTATTAAAGGGTCACAGCATTAGGAAGGTTGAAAACCCCTGCGCTATAACAACTTCATTCCATCCAATGCATAGGGAACATCTCAGACCAGGGAGTAGAAAGAATGTAAGAACCAGTGTATGAAATGATAACTTCTGAACATGACACGGCTGTTGTACATTATCAACTCACAGCTGCGATGCTTCCTATACAAGACCTGCACAAGACTATGCCAATCAAAATTCCAAAGGCTCCAAGACCCCACCCTTGGAGCTATCGATAAGTAACAACCATTGAGATAGGAAAATTCATTATCCTTTGGGATCATGGACATCAGTAGGTTGCCTACATCCCGTTGGACTTACACTTATAAATAGTAAAAAATAGGGGGAAACAGACTGAAGAGCTCTAGGAGAAGTTGGAGGGATATAGTGGGTATGGATATGACCAAAACCTGTTGCATTAATGTATGCAATTTTGAAACAATAAAAAATATTTTTAAAAAGTGCTTAAAGAAATTAAACCAACATGACATAATTTGAGGCTTAAAAATAAAGAGTATACACATTTAAAATCTAATGCTAGACAGTTTTATAACAAGCCCTGAATGACTTTAAAGGAATCATAAGGTAAGTTCCTATTGCTGAAGATACTGCATTTCAGACACAGGGGCCTCTGAGCTGGAATTGACCTGAATGCTCCCTCCCTGAGGACTAGCTTTCATGATACCAGAAGCTGCCATGCTAGCTTCCAAACGAAGGAAGAAAGCAATAGTCCTATCCAGCTATGATGCCTATGAACCACAACAGTGACCAGCACAGAAGGATAACTCTAAGAGTGTAGCAGTAACATTCCTATCTTGCAGATAAGCAACAGCTCTAATTGGATATAAGAATGCCTGGTTCTACAAACTTAGTCAACTACTCAGGGCGAGTCAAGTCAGGGATCTTGGAGGACAACCCAAAGCCATTAATTTACCAAGCCAGCATAATCCCTAACTACACTCTAAATACACCCACAGGTAAGTATAGTTCTCACCCTTCATCAAGGAAACTTCTCTTTCCAATAGCCAGTGACTATTACAGAAAACTACAACCAATCAAAATGTCGCGGTGTTGAGCCCAGTAACAATGGGTACATTTACAAAACAACTCCTGTACATAATATTCAGAGAACATTGTGGAAGGAGCCAGAGGATCAGGAATTTGCTGTGAGATCATGTCTCCTAGTAATGTCAGAAGCTACATTTATACAACATCACCAACATGACTGCCTAAGCATGAGCTGCACAAGGACAACAGGCATACCTGTTGGACAGGGGAAAAGACCACGAGGTCTTGACCCTACATATGAGAGAACCACATACAGGGCTGGGACCAGGAGAGGTAGTTTTCCCCATGTGAAGCACATCAACTGGATATCCCATACCAAATGGTCAGCCCTGGGAACATGCATAGTAGTAACATATAGGATAAGCTGGGAATATGTATGTATATAACTATATTAATGTTAACAATAATTAATTTTTAAAAAGCCATGAATTTGAAAGAGTGCAAGGAGAAGCATATGAGAGGGTTTGGAGGATGCAAAGAGATACGGGAAATGATATAACTATATTATAATCTCAAAATTAAAGATAATTTTCAGCTGGGGTATGGTGGCACATGCCTTTAATGCCAGCACTTGGATGGCAGAGGTTGGCATATCTCTGTGAACTTGAGGCCAGTCCGGCCTACAGAACAAGTTTCAGGATAGTCAGGGCTCCTCAAGGAGAGCCTGTCTCAAAAAGCCAAAAAGGGATGCTAATACATGACCAATGCTCACCTTCAGTAACGGTCCCAGCACCACATGTTTCTGTCAGTCCATAACCCTGACCAATGGGGCAGCAGAAGCAGACATTCATGAATCGGTGTGTCTGAGGAGACAGTGGGGCCCCACCAGACAGCATCATTCGGACATTCCCTCCCAGCAGAGCCTTCACCTTTTTAAAGAGTAACCTTGATAAGAAGGGAAAGAAATAATAGTCATACTGTCACACATTACTCTTGGTAACCAGCTAACAAGCTATGATAAAGTTCTCACAACTGGCTGAACAGAGACACTTGCAAATCATGATGGTAATGGGCGGGTGGCAAATAACACTTTCAAAATATGCCAGAAAAGCATCCCATCCCTCAGATCCAAATGTGCAATATTGGGATCATGCTCTGACTCATGCTAAACAAAAGAAAACTACGTCAAGGAAAAATTGTTAGCTTTCTATGGAACACTCAGTCAACTATTTTATGAGCCTCCTAACTGCTATATTTATCAACTTACTATAATTTTATGAACACAATAAAAGAGAAAATAATGTGTAGGATACATCTTAAAAATTACTTTTGTTTGTGGGTACATACAGTGATATTATCCTATACACATATACTTTAAAACTTCAATGTTTTTATTCAAAACTGTATTCTGGTTTTCTTCAAGAGATCCATTTATAATTACCTCACTATTAAAATTAGTTGAATTATCAAATTCACAGTGCATAGTCTTATTCTTGTATAAACTGTAGGACTCAGAATATAGAATAAATTGAAGTTTTAATCTTGATGTAATATTCAAAATAAATGAATTTGTCATTTGGTTATCTTTCAGATTTCAAAACATAAAAATTTATAGGCGTATTGACACATGGTCATGGTGGCAGATTTTGGAAAGCCTGTGGGGTGTCCATTTATGTCAAGAAGTTCGAAGCTAGATTGGAAACTATCAAAATTTGGATACCATACCAAACAGAATTTGATACATATTTAAAATACAAGGCCTCTGAAATGTACTTACAGATTACAAAGAGGTGCATCATATCCTTTTTTGATTTGTTCTAATTTGTAATCATACCCTATTTTGAATAGAGTTTTCTGAATATAATTCATCTCTTGAACCTTGCTCATGACATTCTTATAAATTCTATCCATGATTTCCTGCAAGATAAACAAAATACTCAATAATCTGAAAACAATTACAACATCACTAAAGATAGTCTTGATTTGATGATACATTGATACTTTTAGGTGGAGATCTATCGAGGAAAATGGACATATTTACTTCTTGGGAAGCTTTTGGAAATTGGTAGATTTCTTTAAGAAGTACTTCAAGAAGATGACAGGTGAGTGAGAAGTACTGTCCCTTACACTCAGCTGTGTCACCAACCTTGGAGATGCTGCCTTAGTTCTCTAGGATAACAAAGGATTCCTTAATTATTTTTAGTTACAAGATTAAACAAAACGATCGGGAGAGTACATTTCTATCTTAACATAGAAGGACTATGCCTCAACTCTAGGCACTTTGTAGGAGGTCATTTTCATCTTGAATTTCTAGCTATCAGCACTCACTCACAGGTATACATTTCAACCTTGTTGTTTCTATGATTTTAAGGATCATCTATGCCACCATTTAAAAGTAAAATTATCCCTTAAGTGTACACATATACCTAAGAGGATTTCTTCTTAAAAATTAAAAATATAAGCAAGAACTTTTATAAGTGACTCTTTTCTATTTGTGACTACTCTGTACTCACCGGAACAGCAGCCATAAGAGTGGGTTTCAGCACAGTGCAATCACCCTTGCTTCCTTTCTTGATTTTGCTGGACTACATTAATAAAAAAACAAATATAATCAGGAAAACAGACAGGTGCTAGCAAAAAATGTGGGGTTCTAATACAAGTGTTAATAACAAAGGCAGAATCTACACAAGGACTTAATCATTTATTGCATCATCTATTGCAAGTTCACAGACTACATGATTTTTTTATTTTATTCTGTTGGTTTGATTTCTAGCACATTGCAGCCTTACCCAGAAGAGAAATTGATCCAGGATAACAATAGACTTGGACATTCTGGTGAACTAACGATTTGTATTAATAATGTACCATCAAATATAACACTTCATTACTTCATTTTCAAGAAAATGTTAATTTTAAGCAGATTCATCACTAATCAGAATTGAATGTGAAGGCTTTTTTTGTTGTTGTTGTTTTTCGAGGCAATGTGTCTCTGTATTATTTGGAGGCTGTCCTGGAACTCTGTAAGACCAGGCAGGCTGGCCTTAAACTCAGAGAGATCTGCCTGCCTCTGCTTCCTGATTGCTGGATTAAAAGCGTGGGCCACCACATCCAGCACACTGAAGGCATTTTTAACTTTCTTTGATTACTCAATAGTAAAGGATGTATCTCAAACTAACCACTATGGACATCAATTAATGTCACACAGAAATAATAATTTGATAATATTCTGGTTGGTAACATAGTAAGGACCATGTCAGTGTCATGTGGCTACACGCACATATATACATCTATGTACAATTTCTTTCATGCATAAATAATACAGTCATTCATTGAAAAAAAGGAGATAAGAATCTCCTATATTGTGAACTAGTGGTTTACAAATCTGGACAAATTATACATTAACCAGGCTAGTACAGGAAAGAAAACTAACTCTCAAGAAGCAGTAAAATCTATAAGAAATACCATATAGATTCCACCACATAGGTTGTTCTCTTCTTAAAGCTATTTTCTCTGTCTGTAATTTCAAATGTGCTTAAACTATGAGTTAGGGCTGTCTATTGTTGGGCTTCATGCTATGAACAATAGAAACAAAGGAGAACCCTGGTTCAGTGTAAAGCTGAGGGCTGGCCTTGCAGATACTACAATGCTATCCAACAGAATTCTCTGCAAAGATCAAATATTTGCATCTGTGCCATAGAATATGTTATCAATTGGTCACAGACGTATCAGGAACCTGAAATGTGGCTAAGTAAAACAAGAAATCAGAAAATTTCTAATTTTAATCAATTTCTATTTAAAGATAGGACTAGTATCACAGATTCAGAATAAGTTCAGAAGAAAACTAGGTCTAAAACCTACACCTCTTCCCAAGAACTAGTTAATAGTCCTAAACAGTATGCTAACTGTTCCATGAATATACTTAGCAGTATAAATTCTCCAGAGTACAATCTAATACAGAAAGATGGAATTATTTCAAGATATTTTTAAAACATGGGGTCTAAATCAATGCTAGTACCATGTTATTCATGGAAAGCTATGTTTGATGCCATGGGGGCCTTTGATCTTTGAGCAAAGAGAAAGTTTGTCACCTGGTCAGATAATGTCAGTGGAGAAGAATATCCAATCCTACAGCCATAGGTAAAGCAAGATATCTCTGCTGTCAATTCCAGCACATGAGCCAAAGGTAAATAACCAATATATGTGTCCTTTGGTCTAAACCAAAATAAGAGAAACAGATTAACCACGTTGAACAGGCATTTGAAATTCATAACTTAACTACGAACTCTGTATTCCTAAGAAAGCTGAGTGATCCTCTCTTACCCAAGTCCAGGTATTCTTTCACACTGGCCTGTCATTCCAGCTATCAAGTTGCTATGGTGCATCATCACTCCCTTGGGTCGGCCAGTAGAACCACTGGTATACATGACAATGGCCATGTCGGAAGGTGTTGGTCTATTTGGAGGAATGCTTGCTAAATAAATGAAAAAGCATATTATCTTCAGTTCAAAGAGTGGATTACACTTGACAAGAAGGTATTTTCATTTTACATAATGATGCAGATTTCAAAATTACTCAGTATTAATAAATAGTAAGAATGTTTATCAAATTCCGGTTGATTGAAATAAAGATTTCAAACTCCATTCGGTCTATTTTAGGATGGCCAATCTAAGCCCCAACTGATCAAGTCTCTTCACAGCGTTACATACAGAACTGGGAAGGATTTCTGAAGCTTTGAAAGAATAATACCATGTATAGATTCCTTAGCGCTAAATAATGGTTCAGGGCCCAGCATGGTGGTGCACACCTTTAATCCCAGCACTTGGGAGGCAGAAGCAGGCAAATCTTTGAATTTAAGGCCAGCCTGATTTACAGAGTGAGTTCTAAGACAGCACACAACATGACATTTCCCCTCTGTCTATTTTGTTTGTTTGTTTTTAGAGACAGGGTTTCTCTGTATTGTTTTGGAGTCTGTACTGAAACTTACTCTGTAGAACAGGTTGGCCTCGAACTCACAGAGATCCGCCTGCCTCTGCTTCCCAAGTGCTGGGATTAAAGGCATGCGCCACCAACGCATGCAAATGTGTCCTTATAATAACCAGACTACAATATATTACAATTCTACATATACTATTATGATGACACATTATGATAATGACTATACTCATGTAAAAATTATGAATCCTATCTATCGTGGAGACAAATGGATGCCTGTGATTCATGTCAACTCTCAATCAAAATTATGAGAACTGATAAAGTATCTTCTATGCTTCTGTGTCATGCTCTGGTGAATCATTAGACCTGGCAGCAGAACGTCCTGCTGATCACAGCTTCCCAGTCAAGCATGCACCAGCCTTGCAATATTAACCTGGTATCAACAGACAGCTCTCCATGGATCTCTGCCATTTATGTGCGTTAAGCCAGTACAGGAACTGATTTGCGTTGGGCTGTCTTTTCAAAGGATGTACACTCTTCTAGAGTGAATAACAGGCATTTTTCCTGTCCAGAACAGTAAAAAAATACACTATTTGCCCCCCAGGCTTCTTTTCTACGATACAAATTCATATTCTGACCATAGTTTTGAAGAAAAAAAACTACCTCAACTCTAACCTAAAATCTGCTTGTTGTCATGAAGAAACTCAGCCAAGATTGCCTTCTTCAAAAGAAAGGAAAAGGAAATTTCAGTCATATGCAGTCTCGATCACTTTTAAGATTAAACAGCTTCGGCATTTTTACTAATGTCACTTCTTTTATTAATCTATTACATTAGCAAACATGAATAAATGAGGAAATTAACTGATTCACTTACAGTTTTCTGGCTTGGATCCCAACTCTTCTACTGATTGCATGCTGTGAATCTCAAACCCTTCAGGGTACTCTGCTTTATTGATAGTCTTATTATCCACATAAATGATATGCTTGACACAATTGATATCTAATAATGCCGCCTGTTGAATGGAAATAAAAGCCTGCTATTCAATTTGGCACACTATCAAAATTAATAGTAACTGACAGGACTGGAAAACGTTTACTAAATAAATTTCACTGTGGTAATTATAGACAAATTCAGAGTGCTCTAATGCTGCAATCATATTAAATAAGCCACCCATATCTTTAGAATGAAAAGCACTAAGACCAAAATATTTAAAAATAATAGCAACTACATTAAGATGCAAAAAGACAGACAATGCAAAAACATGTAAATCTAGACAATAAAAATGTAAATGGGGCAGGAAAGGAGTATACATGTGTATGTTTACTAGTGTATTTTCTCTTTTTGTTTCCTATCAATCTTATCTTATGTCTGTCTCTTAAACATATTAATGTAGCTTGTCACAAAATGTACTTTTGGCCAGGGCACTGGTGGCACACGCATTTAATCCCAGCACTCGGGAGGCGGAGGCAGGAGGATCTCTGTGAGTTCCAGGCCAGAGCAAGTTCCTCCAAAACAATACAGAGAAACCCTGACTCGAAAACAAAAAAAAAAAGAGAAAGAAACAAAGATATGAGCTAACAGGAAGGCAGATTTCAATACAAAAGAACTGCTTCTGCAATAAGTTAAACAAGGCTGGGGGAGATGGCCCAGTTTGGAAATGTTTCATGACACTGAAGTCAAAAGGATTTTTTTCATTGTTGCTGTTTTTGTTTAGTTTTGAATAATCCCTAAATACATAGAAAACAGAAACAAAAGTAGACTAAAACGTTTCTAAATAGTAAAGGAAACAATCATCAGAAGGAGAACATACAGGGCAAGATAAAACACTGCAAACACTCTATTTGATACATGTTGTATATCCAGAAACTTGGCAACAAGTCAAAGAACCCAAATGACAATAGAGGAAAGATCTAAATAAACAGTTCTCAAAAGAAGACATACAAATAACCAAGAGATACATGAAAAAAATCTCAGCATCACCAGTCAAAAGCACTTGAAATTTCACTTATCTTCCAAGAGAATGACTATTATAAAAAAGGCAAAAGGTCCTAGTAATTCTGTGGAAAGGGGGGAATTCTTGCACCACACTGATGATGAAAATCTACATCAATATAGTCATTATTTAAAAAAGTACAAACGGTTGTCCAAAACTTAAAAATATATTACTCTATGACCACAACAATCTTACTATCAGGAATCCTGAAGAAATGAAATCAGTATGTCAATGACATTTATATTCTCATGTTCAATACCTTACTGTTTGCAATAGCCAAGGGATGGATATAGCCTACCAACTGATGTATGGATAAAGAAAGCATATTACATATATATATAGGAATACTATTCAACCATAAGAAGAATGCGAGCCCAGCATTTGCAACAACTTGGCTACAGCTAAAGATCATTACTGTAAGTGAAATAAGCCAGGCACAGAACACTAAGCAGCATATAACCTCATTTATGTGAAATGGAAGAATTGTAGTTAGCAGAGACGAGGTAGAACAGGAAAGGTAGGCTGGAGAAACTGACTAATGGACACGAAGTTACAGCTGGATATGGAGCAAGAGGATATGGTGTTTCTACATAGCATGATGGCTATGCTGATAATGTACCATGTGTTTCAAAAAACAAAGAAAGTATATTCAATGTTTCAAACACGTTTTAAGCTGAGTTGAGCATTACACAGTGTAGATATGTTGAAACACACACACACACGTTTAGGTATTGGTTAAAATTTAGGTATAAATTTAAAACAATTTCATACTTACCTTCAATTTGCTTTCCAGAAGCTCAACACTAGTAATCAGATAGGAAGCCTCAGATTCATTTAACCCATGAACTACAGCTTCTTTGCCAAGTGTGGCATATAAAGTCACAACTATATAATAAAAAGTAAACATGAAAATTAGACACTTAACACTTTTGAGGATGATATGTTATTTAAGCCAGGCCTTACATATAGCAACAGTGCAGACACAAGCACTTTATGTTTTAATTAGGTTTTCATAGTTACCGGGTTCCTCAAACTTACAAATTCCCAGGAATCAAACTGAGATACTTAAAGTCAACAGGTCCTGGGAAGTGGTCAGGTCAGAGGACAGCCCAGTAACAAGTTCCCTTTCATTGTTAATTGCCCAAAAGAATGGATAAGGCATTCTTAAAAAAATTTTTCAAGTTCTCAAGTCAGACAAAGCCACAAATAATGTCCTTGCTCCTTCCAAAAAGCTTTTTCAGTAGGTTCAATGTCTAATACCATTGGTCAGACAAGAAAGTTCAAAGCGCAAAAATGAAATAAAATTTGTAAGCAATCACTTTTGTTGTACAGTCTCCAAAACCATACCTTCAACCTTGAAAACTTTAGGCTATAACTCATTTCTAATTAAAAATTAAAATTCTGAGTTATACATAGGTCTCAGCTCCCAAACTAACACTTATAGAACTTGCTATCCTTAATAGGAGCCACTGGATTATTATTATTTCTAATTTTATTATTTTTGTATGTATACAGTGTGTGTATTTGCCTGTGTGGAAATCCAAGGACAATAATATTGGGTTTTGGTCTTCACTTTCCACTTTGAGGCCTGGTCTCTTAATGTTCTACTGTGCATACAGGCTAGCTGGACTCTGTCTCAACTTCCCATCTTGCCTTAGGAAAGCTGAGAGTACAGACTGCTTTATGTGTGTTCTAGGGATTTGAACTCAGGTTCTCATGCGTTATCCATCAAGCCTTCTTCTTGGCCCCTAGCCATGTTTTATGGACATAATCATATAGGAAAATAGCTAAGGAACACCTCAGTTTCATATAATAGTGCACATGTTGTGTGTGGTGTAACTATTTTATTCAGTGCTGAGGAACAAATCCATGATCTCAAGTATGCTATAAAAATGTTTTACTAGCCGGGTGTTGGTGGCCCACACCTTTAATCCCAGCACTAGGGAGGTAGAGGCGGGCGGATCTCTGTGACTTCGAAGGCAGCCTGGTCTACAAAGAGTTCCAGTACAGGCTCCAAAGCAATGCAAAGAAACCCGGTCTCAAAAATAAAAAAAAGTTTTACTAATGAGTTATAAGCTATCAGCCCACTTTGAAAACAGGAGCATCTCAGAACACACTTCCCATGTTAGCGAAGCTCTCCCTCTCCCCTGTAAAAACACAAGGCACTCACGGGGAAAGTTGTACTTGAAGCAAGTCTGTGCTGCAATCATCCACTCAGCCCTGGTCTCACAGAAAATGGCAATGGTGCTCTTTGGTTTCAGTCCCAATGCAGTGAGTCCACTTCCAAAGTTATTCACTCTGCGGTTCACTTCAAGATAGTTTATCCATTTATAGTTGCCGAGAATTAACTGTTAAAAGTGAGACATTTTCCACCATCACAATAAGCAATTAAAATACGATTCAATACACTGAACTCCCAAAAATCCCATTATGTGAATATTCAGAAACTATGAGACCTCTGAGAATTCATTACCAAGCACTATGATACAGTGCCAGCATTCTTAAAGTACACTTGATTTATGACAAAGTAAACTGATCCTCTGTCATTCAAACAAATGAAAAAAGACACAAGTGCTTTACCTTCTTAAAAACCTTTCCGTTGGGCTGCATTTCATTTTCCTCACTTAGGATTTCCCTGGTCCCAAGGCTGTCCTTCTTTCCAAACTTGGCTACAGCATGGTCAAATAATTTATCCAGAGTATCGGCTCCAGGGATGTCTATGACAGCTAGTGAGTCGAAGTGCGTGACAGAGCGGTATGGACTTCCAGGTTTGTCTGAAGTGGGCTTAGCTTTTATTCTCTTTGCCATAGCGTTTTTCTTCTTGGCATTGGTAAGAAAATACCATGGAATAAATATAAGGGCACTGTATATTGTTATTAACAAGTGGACAGGCAGCAATATAATGGTGAGCACATTTAGCTTAAGTTTCATAGTGGAAAGGCTTCTAATATGGCGCTTATTGGTGGTTATTCTTTGGCTTTTAAAGCCTTAGGTTTCTGGAGAAGGCAATAATGGAAGCAGCAGTAAGAGTAGCAGTATAGCCAAGGTAGTTCAAATTTAGTGATACAGATAAAAGTTAGTAATCTTTGGAAGCCGACAATAAAGGACACCTGTAGGTAAAGACAATGAACCAGGCAGAGAATAGGGGAAAAAAACAACAAAAGAATATTAGCAAGTTGACAGCATAATTAATTTAAATATTCAGATCTTATTAGTTTAAATAATTGATTTGCTATGAAAAGATGAAGGAACTGGCATGAAATGCTGGCATTTTCAAGTCTAGTCATTACTGACAAACATTTTTTTAGTGCAAGAACTTTTGGATTTCTGTTTTTTTCTGTGTTGAGCTATAAGAGTACTCTGGATTCTTCTCTAAATCAGGCAAATACCAGTAATTTCATGCTCACGTCAATGCATGAGGATGCAAAGAACACCCAAGAGATATTATGCATACTTCTTTATTAAGATAAACTGAGCTAAGCTGATCACTATCTTCCCCAAATGGGAACAATACAATTATAGAGCAACAATAAAATTATAGAGTTCTTTCTTAGGAACCATGCTGTGCTCAAAATCATACCAGTTCCCTGGGAGGAGCAGAGGTCTGAAATAGTGTTAAGTCCTAGCCCTGGTCTATCATGAGTTCACATACCCAGGGCTGTCAGCATATAAGATAGGTCTAGTAGTTATTTTTCAAATTGGGTTGGGGTTTGGGAGCAGGGTTAACAACTAAACAATTTCTTTTAAGCTCATGAGAACCACCCATATACTACCTTGGAGTTATTTATTCTAGGTGAAGCAGAGGTTTTGAATGTCCTATGATCTCAGAACTCCCTGCAACTTCATTTCACTCCTAAGGCACTTCCAATGAAAAACACTGATGTAATACTCAACTACACTACAGTGTGCAACACAAACAACAGATGTAAGAAGACTTCAGAGCAAATACAAAACGGCCAAGAGTATGCAAGGGATTGGTGATGGTTAGGTGTAAGCTGGATCTCAGCATGGTGAAATGAACCAGAAACGTAGTCACTGGGTTTCTGTATGTGCCTCTGCCACTACCTGACTATGTAACCTTGACCAATCTTTGTGTGATCAGACTAAATAAGTAGGCCTTACTTAATTAAGCCTGTGAAACCCCAGTGAACTCTACTCACAGATTCCTGAAGATATATATGATTTCAAGAGATTCCTAAAACCATTTCATGAACCTAGATAGAAGACATCAACCTTTACCTTAAGGTTTTAGGCCTACATGAATTATTTGGGACTTTCCAAGTTTAAATTCTGATTTACATTAAACCTAGAAACTGCTTTCTTGGTCTCTCTGACTAGACTGGTCTATCTAGTCACTTACCTCTTCAAGTAAACTGTCAAGTGTCTATTGCAGCACCCAGCCCTCTGACACACAAGATTACTATTCAAAGTTTCTTAACTGCCTAAGACTTCAATAATCTTTCCTTCATCTACTTTCCTACATTACTAAAAATATCATCACTCTGCTACTTGATTTCATCATCATGTCCACACATCTGGGCAGAAAACTTTAAAGCGCAGTTAAATCTAAACCAACATCTTTTTTTAAGACAGGGTCTCACTGTGTATTCCTAGTTAGCCCAGAACTTACTACATAGACCAGGCTAGCTTTAAACTCATAACTATCCATCTGCCTCTGGCTTCCAAGCACAGGAACTACAGGCATGTGCTGCCAGCCTGGCTCCATCATTTCTTGTAACAAAGGTGTCCTGCTACTCCTCGATAAGCTTTAAAGAAGTCATAGACAAGCTTCCAACATGCATAATTTAAAAAAAAACAGGTCTTAACAATAGTTGAAGACCAAAAAGGATGTCTTCAAGTTTATACAATGTCCCCCATTCTCAACTAAGAAACTGGCAAACTTAGGACAGCAAACACATACATACTGTCTTGTGCATACTAGCTTTAAGTCTTGCTAAAAGAGAAACTCCTACATAACCTTTAGTGCTTAGTACAGAGACACAGATAAATACTCTGCTCTTGTACTAGGAGCAAATGAACTGTTGTCTACAAACCTTTGCTATCCCAGACAATGAGCATACTTGATTGAGCTGGATCTCAGCTTTAGCCTCAATCTCTACTATCAAGTGTGACTTTGGGCTGGTAAAAGCTTGAACTCTGTGGGCATCAGCTTCATCTGTAACATAGAAATACTGTCCGAATTACCTATGTCATAGTTTTCTTGGAGGAACCCTTTGTCTTCCTTGCTTAAATTGGTGAGGAATCAGAATTGGCCTCTACCCTACACTCTGTACTCCTGTCACTCGCTCCTGTTGCTTTACTGACTCAGCTAAATCACATGCTCCTCTGCACCTGTACCCACGCAGCTTCATTTGCAGGGACACATTATTGCATAGAATGTCTCGCTTGATGATAGACAGAAACCCAACTCTACTAGTGTACCCACTATGTTACTCTCCTAAGTCAGCTGCCTAATCTTCATACCACCATTTACTCCTCTATAGTCTTATTCTCCGTTGCTGTCCTTATTCCCCTGGCTATGGACTCACTTCCATGTGTCTATGGCCATAAGCTCTCTTCTGTGACCGCATGAACTGTCGATGTTCCTATCCCTTTACCTGGTCATCATGCCTTTGTCTGCTCATGGCCATGGTGACAGTGCTCTGCCCATTCTTGCCATTCTACTTAATTGTTACCATCAGCATTTATTTCATCTTAAAACCCATTCCTTCTTTTGTACCTAACTCTCAGCTATACCCCATTTCTTCTCTTTAGACATCCTATAAAAAGTTGGGTACTCTATCACGCAATTCCCACTACACTCAGGTCTTTGTCCCCTACCACACATCTAAAGGGCTCTGGTCAGTGCCACCAACGACCTCCACACTGTTAGATCCAAAGGTCAATCAAAACTCTGTATTCATCTTCCTTCTCCCAGTCGGTCTTTAATACGGCTGTTTCCTTTTTTCACTCCCAAGACACCAGATTGCAATTTTCTTCCTATGTCTGGCATTGTCGGTCTTCCTTCTTTCTCACTTCCCTGATCCCTCAATACTATAGTGTTCAATTCTCTAATTGCTTCTCTATCTACCCTCACACCTGTACCAATCTCATTTGTCTCACGGACTGAAATATCACATATGGTGATGGTTCCTAAATAAGCCCTTAAACCTCAAATTTGTATAATCAATGGTTTCCTCAATGGTTGTATGTAGAAGCAATTAAGTTCCTAAATTTTAGCATGCTCAAAGCACAGCCACTGATCCTTCTACAACTGTATTTTACCCAGCCTTGTCTCTTTGAGTACATTCCCTGCTCCGAGTTTCTCTTCCCTGCCCTAGCACACTGCTCTAGTCCCCTATGTTCATTACTGTTTGTGGCTACACTATGTTGTGACTCTGCTGTCCCGCATATTGCTGTTTCTGCCAGAATTAGTCTCCAAAGATACCCATGTGTTATTTTTGCCTACTTTCTATATTTAATCAAGTAAAACCATCTTCCCGGCTAGACCTTCTCTAGCTACCCTATTTATAAACTACTCTTGCAATACTCCCTCGATTTTTCTCCTTACCACCTTTCACTAATATACTATTGGGTCCTCAAGTTCATTGTCTATGTCTCTACTAGAAGTTTCATGAGGAGACAGTCTGCTGCTGAAACCTCACCAACCAGAAGAGTATCTCTATGTGTCAGTTCTTCAATAAGTGTACTGCATAAGAACATACACAGAACTGGTCTGAATTAGAAACTGAAAGGGCACACACGCATGTGTGTGCGTGCGTGTGTGCGTGCGCGTTCTCGCTAGAAAAGCGGGAAGGTTCCACAATTTGTACTTGGCGATTTTGTTTTTACTGATGCCCCTTATGAAGGTATGCTCCCATTTTCTGTATGAAAAGTAGGCAGCACCCCCATGTTATTAGGGTGCAAACTGAGTTGTTATCCCTTGAAGTCAGGTGACGGACCTCTGCTTCTGGATAGGAAGCACAGGAATAGTTAATTGTGCCTTCAAACCTTTGCTGTTCCAGGCGGGGATCATCTTCATAAACAATTATTGAGCATTTCCAGTGGAAAGTCTTCTAGATATATTTTCATTTAGTTAGTCAATGAACCCTTTAAGGTGATATTGTTATTTCACAGAGATGGTACAGGATCTGCCAAAGTTGGCACAGGTGAGTGGTGATTAGTCTCACTTTATTCATTTGCAAGTTGGTATCTCCACCATATGCTCACACTAAGAGTGACAAACCTTACACAGGAAAAAAATACTAGCAACGATTTTGAGCACTGATTTTTCCTTCCTCCAAAAGCATTGTATGAGGCGAAAAGCCCTTTAGATGTCTAGAAAATCTAAGAAAGTTTAGTGAAGAATCAGGTACAATTTTATTTCCTTTTTTTCTGATGTCAAATTTAGTAGGTATTTCATTCCAGTTACTTCAAACATCCTGAGACAGGTTAAATGCAAAAAGCATTAGCGATACATTCAGCTAAGGCCCAAAGTAAACACTACATACTGATTAAAGTCTGAATTTAAAAGAAACTTTTCCACCAGAAGCATATGATACAATATCAATTTAAGATGATTAATGCCAAGATACAAAAGTTTCAGAAATGAACAAAACCAAGCAAAGATCAATGCATCTTCCACCATAGAAACAAACTAGCATCTCTCTTTTATACTAAGACAGTGGTTCTCAACTTATGGATCATGACCCCCACAGTAGTGGCATATCAGATATTTACATTATAATTTATAACAGTAGCAAAATTACAGTTGTGAAGTAGCAATGAAAATAATTTTCTGTTTGTGGTGGGTCATCACATCGTGAGGAAACATATTAAACAATCACAGCATTAGGAAAGTTGAGAACCACTGCACTAAGGTTTTATAAAAATTTTTAATAAATCAATTTGAAAATCAGCAATCAACTATACAAATATCATTTTAGTCACATTTTCAAATCACATATTATTTACGAGTAAATTAAACATCAACTAACGATATTTTGCTCACAGTTGTATCTACCAAAAATTAAATCCTAAAATTATAAAATTTCAACAGATTAAACAGATAAGAATACCTACTATGCTTTAAAAGTTCATATTTCTAAATAGATGGTGCATCACCGAGATTTTTATAAAAGGGTGGAGTGCTTTATTAAAAAATATTTCACATACTATTATAGACATTCTGAATTTGAAACATGAGACTGCTTACGTTCTAAGTTACAAAATGAATACCTACGCTTGGCAAATAAAATCAAGACTTTAAGGAGATGCAATACAATTTAATTTGCATCACAGCTTACCTTAACAACTTACAAAATGTTAGTAATTTAAGACAATAAATGAGCTGAGATAGGTTAACAAGATAATCTGCAGCACCAAATCTTTCCATGAAATATATACATATTATGCTCCCCTGGTCAATCTCACCAAACTAAAATTGTTAGACTGAAAACAATGATTTGTACAATCATACTCAAAACTCAGTTATTAGGCCAAAATAAAAACCTTAGGTGGGGAGGGTGCTTGCACATGTATGTATCTGTATGTATACATAAGCACACACACATCCACACACTCCCCTTCACCAACATATACATAAGTAGCTATTGTTTTGCTTTAAAGTACTTCATGATTCCAACTGATCTTTGCATGCGTCTCTCACAAGATTAGCCAAACCTGTTTATTTCATCACCTGGAGAAGCATTAACTCCTGAAGTCTCCATCCCGCCAGTCTTTTCCCGGCTTTTCCCAGCAAAGAGAGCACCCCAGCAGCCATGGTGAAGATACTTGTTCATGCTCTAGTGGGAGCTCCCTCCCTCCCATAATGCTTTAGAAAGATCCCCAGCATGCATCATAATCTAGGTCACAGTTTAGTATAATTGGGATCCTATCTCTGTATGTTGAAATATGGAGATTTAGAAGTCAATGTTACTGCCTACACACTTCACATCTATACTGTGTAGGACTAGATGTCTAGCACTCATCCTAAGTGATAAGAGACACAATTGATTTTTAAATAAGTTTTTTTTTCAGTTGGTAATTGTCTGTAATTTAATTCAAAGTTCTGAGGAACTTGGAAGAGAAATATATTAGAAGGTGACACCACCTACTGGCAAAGCATGATATTACAATCCAAGTTCACCAAACATCGCTAAAAGAGAAAAACATCCTAGGAGTTAAGTATTGGAAAGAACTAGAAATGGATTAAGGCTGTAAAAATGAAACAGGCAGCACAAAGATGATGTCAAAGCTCTACAATGGCAGTTAAGGAGTAACTTCTACAGGTTGCTGCCAAGAGAAATAACTTATTGTGTAAACTTTCTGTCCAGAAAGCCTTTGGTTCACTGAGACTTGGAACATGTTAGTTTTAATCTTAACATATGTTAACCAAAAATAACAGTTACAGAACCGAACTTTAATGCTGTTACAGTGACTGTTTTTATTAAGAAATACACATAGTCCGTCTGTAAGCTATGTGTCTATCTCGTTACCTTACATAGTTATTTTAATAAAGTTTTATAATGGATGGATAGTTGTCAACCATTGAGTGTAGGTTAAAAAATCCCTGTAGTTAATATTTCCCACCGGAATGCCTTTGTGTTACAGGTAGAATTTTGCAACTGTATTTAAAACAAAACACACACCAAAAAACTTCACCACATACCCTCCCTATTTGAGAGAGGTGGAGGCAGTTTAATGGGCTGTTTCTTAACCAATGCTGATTCCCAGTACTTTATACTGCTAAAAGTTATGCAACATAGTCTTAAATTATTTCTTATAAAGAGGTCATATAAGCCACTTCAGTTCAGCAGCCTAACCACTATGATGCATATTTCTATCATGTTGTTTTTTTAAAAGAACACTTTGATCTTTAATGTTACATATATCTTATGAGTAAGACTAAAAGAGTTTGCTGGGCGGTGGTGGTGTACACCTTTGCTCCCAGCACTCCAGAAGCAGTGACAGGTGGATCGCTTGAGTTTAACACCAGCCTGGTCTACAGAGTGAGTTCCAGGACAGAGTAAAAGAGAAAAGGGCACATAGGAGAAACCCCTAGATGCCACTTTTACCTTAACAATTCATTATGAGTGCCTTTAACATTCAAAAAAATATTTTAAAAAAAGTGGAAAGGTACTCTTAATGTTAGCATTTCCATGTTAAGGTCACTTTGTTCTTTCTTCTTACACTGATATTGCTTTTCTGGTTCATGTTTCACCAAGGTGTGTGAGGCAAAGGCAATAAGGAAATTATTTTATTTTGAAACCTATTTTGAGATAGCTGGAACAAAGTTATGACAACTAATGGGGAGCCTCCAAAGTGCCATAGGGCACTATCTGAAAACTCCTGAGCATAAACGGCCAGGTGCTCTGCCAACTCACTGACAATTTCTACTCTTCGCCTTCAGAGTATTTTTTCTGTCCAACCCACATGGGCTACACTTCAATTGCTGTAGGCAAGCTGCTATAAATGTGTACGTGTGTGTAGGTATACATGCATGAGAAAGGAAGTACTCTCTGGAGAGATAACTACAGAGGCGTGATATATTCACCCTCAGCAGTCTATTGTACAAAGGAAAAGCTAAAATTACTAATATGCTACCTCATTTGTCAATCATGCAAATAGCATAGAGCCTAAAGAAACTGAATTCACAGATAACTCATTCTGGTCTCATCTGTGGCCATGCTAAAGATTCTTCTAATGCAAGCTAACGAGTGGCCATCGATTAAGGCATGCAAGAACATTAAGTCTTTTGAATTTCTTCCCACTGGGAAATCAGTCATTAGCATGGAAGAACTACTCCATCTTCTGTTTCAAGTTCATAACTCAGTACAATGAAATCAATTCTTAAAGGACCAGAGGCAACGTCAGAGCTGCTGAGCCGTCAAGTCTGAAACAAACGAGCCTGTCATTTCGCATCTGTAAAATTCAAAAGTTGGGTTCTGATTTCAACACATCAAAGACTAGTTTGGTGTTTTAAGGACAGGGGTAATGACACAGAGCTATTTTGTTACCAGGTACAGTTGTTTAAAAAAAACCTTACAATCTACTGTAGGTATATCCTTTAGATTGAAAATGGCTAGCATTAAAGAGAATGCATGCCTACTGTTCCTTTATGCCACTCTTCAGAGTGTACTAGTAAGAACTTCTCCACTAGCCAGCACTGGCCTAAAAATCCACATTTGGGAACCACTGAACCAGATAGTTTTCAAGTTCTAAGTCTCAAACATTATAACTTCAAGTGCTGTGTTCGGTTTTTTGACTCTACACATCTTGGTCCAGAATAAACACCTCAGTGAAAGACAATGTTGATATTTAAGTTTATGTACATAAGATAGATACTTACATCAGCGTGAGAAATAGACACTAAGCTATAATAAGCTTCAATTTCTGAGATATGCCTAACTGCTACAATGAATCAGTGATGGTGTGCTTGCTATCCAGCCTACCAAAAATAGCTTGGACACCTCTGTCCTCAAAACTGGACTCTAATCTATAAATCCATTTTGGAGCGTGACTCAAAGAGAGGATCTAACTAGTCCTCCCCTTCTAGAATGGAGTGACACATGGTTGAAGGTGCATAAAGTAAACATGTTTTTTTTTCCATTTTACTTTTTCCAAGTAGATATTAGTAAAGTTTCTCCCTTAATAGCCTCAAAGCGAGGATGCAATTATATATGTTACGTCCTGAAGGACACATACTTACAGGTTTCTTCTTTCCCTTTTAAGAAGAACAGGTATATCTCCCGTGATTTGATTCTGCAGTGAGAGACAACAATTATGAGTACTGTGACACAGGACATGAATCCTTGCCAAAGAAAACCAGGTGACAGCCCACATTTTCTTTGCACCTTAGGTCAGGGTAAACTAACAAACTACTAAGATAAGGGACTTTAGGATTTAGTTCAGATGAGTTCATTGAGTGGGACTCACTCAAGAGACAGGAACCAAAGCCCTGAAAATAATGACAAGAGGCAGAGGTCATGTTCTTAGTGGTTTGCACTTTTTTTGTTGTTGTTGTTTTGTTTTTTGAGACAGGGTTTCTCTATTTTGTTTTGAAGCCTGTCCTGGAACTCGCTCTGTAGACCAGGCTGGCCTCAAACTCACAGAGATCCGCCAGCCTCTGCCTCCCAAGTGCTGGGATTAAAGGCGTGCACTACTAACGCCTGGCTTGGTTTGCGCTTTTGATTCCTTCTTTATTGAACTAGCTGCTGCTAGCTGGAACCATTAGTTTTCTGCTGTGATATTCTTAAGGTAAAGCAAAGATGTTTTATGGGAGCATGTAATCTACAGGTGCTCACTTCTGCTACGTTTAATAGAATTTTTTCCAAGTTAAACTTAGTATCTATGATACACTTCTGGGGAGGTAGTGCTGAAGCCTCTGGGTCTGAGGCAAGTGTCTACCTATATTAAAGTCATGCTATTTGAGATTCTCTTATTTTTCTCCAGTTATTAACACAGGAGCAGCAATGCATATGCATATTAAAATAAAGGTCAAAGAGTTCACAAGGTGAATATTGTAAAAGAAAAATTTCAGTTTTGTACACAAACAATATAATTCCCTCATAGAAATTTCTGCTAACTACAATATAATGATAATAATAAAAATAACCCAACCATAAAACAATTTAGAGATTTGTAGGTGGCAGGAAAATTTAGAAGGAAAGAGAGGAGGAGGAATACATTAAAAACTACCCACTACTTTGCTGAATTTAGAAAATAAATGCCATCAACAAATATTTGCAAATACTTAAGCCTACATAATACAGGGCGAAGCTGGGAAGCACAGTCACGCATCAGAACTCCCTCCTAGGCAGAAGTGCACCTCAGCTTTCACCTTCATCTCCACCACAAAACCAGCTATGCAAAAACAACTCAACACAAAAGAAGGGGCTGGACAGATGGCTCTGGGGTTACAAGCCCTTGTTGCTCTTGGAGAGGACCTGGGTTCAGTTCCCAGAACCCATGTGGTGGCTCAAACATCTGTAACTCCAGTCCCAGGGGATCCAACACCTTCTTCTGACCTCCAAAGACACCAGGCATACATGTGGTACACAAATACACATACAGGCAAAACACTCATACACATAAAGTAAATACAGCTTCTTAACAGTCTACAACCATAAAAGGCATTTCTTTCATCATAAGGGAGCTAGAGGTGTGTAGCTCAGTGTAGAGCCTGTGCTTAGCATATGTGGCATTGGGTTTGATTCCCTAGTATCAGAACATGGTCCAAATGGAGTCCTGTGAGGGGAATTCTGAGTGCTTGTGAGACACCCCATGAAAGCAAGACAAGAGCCTTGTGACCTCAGTTTCTTCAAAATTTTTCTTGGAATGTGTTCTCATGCTCCTGCCAGGTGTAGTAGACTTGTCCTTCTGATTGTACACCTTACTCATGACTCTTCTTAACCCTCAGAGGATAAATTGCCTGATGCTCTGATTAAAGTTGGCTATTGCATGAGACTTTCGACCACATCGTTTTTTTTTTTTTTTTTTGGCCCTGCTTTCCCAGGTTTAGGATCCCAACAACTAGAGTGGCCACACCAAAGAAGAAAATGAAGACTGTAATGGCTACCCAGAAAATAAAAGGAAACCAAATGACAATTTCTCATCTAGCCAAACCGAGTATCCCACACAAGAAAACCTAATATTCAACTCTCCCAGCCTCCCTCTACAAAAGAGCACCCTCCTCTGGGTCATTCTAGTCAGACAAATTGAGAAATGATGTTATATGGAAAACCTAAGCAGATTACTATAAGTAGGTTTGATATACAGGTGATCAGAAACAGGGATGTTTTTGCTAAAATTATAAAGCAAACCTTATTCAGGATTTTCTTCTTCATAAATATACAAATGTTTTCAATATAAGGTGTTGGGAGCCATGTGGACTAGTTTCTGACCAGTATATGACTGCTTGTCCAATGTGTCTACAGATGAGGCAAAAGTCTTTGGGGAGAGTCTCACCCAGTAAAAACCAGTGGACTTTGGGGACAGTGCAGAATACTGCTGGAACTGTGCAGGGGGCACACTCTCTTCTCTCTTATAATGACTGATGGCAGTTTCAGTGTCATTTTGTCAATCATGCATGAGAATGATGTGATCATTCCCGGAAACTCCATTTTTTTCCTCAAATATCTTCCCCTAAAATTTTTGGGAGTTGATACCCATCTTGTCTGGGGATGCCAGATGTTACTTCAGACCCTGAGAGCTCTTCTAATTCAATGCTTGGAGGCAGATCACCTTATTTCTGTAAATATGTTCTGAATGGGATTGCTATTCTTGAAAATGTGTGCCTATGTCAATCACCTTTTAGTTTTGCAAAAACAGAATATACCTGGCTGGACAGGGTTTCTGTGGCTTTGGAGGCTGCCCTGGAACTCACTCCTGTGGATCAGGCTGGTCTCCAACTCACAGAGATCCTCCTGCCTCTGCCTCCTGAGAGCTGGGATTAAAGGCGTGTGCCGCCGCCACCCGGCTGGATTAACTCTTGAGGAAAGACACAATGGTATGTAATGTTCTAATCTTTGCAGCAGATAAGAATGTCACATCTCTACCCTGGCCAGAGGTAGATTCCATTCTTTTGTCTGGGAGGAAATAGCCCTGGTTTTTCGAGACAGGGTTTCTCTGTGACTTTGGAGCCTGTCCTGGAACTAGCTCTTGTAGACCAGGCTGGCCTCGAACTCAGAGATCCCACCACGCCTGGCTTTTTTTCCCTCCTCTTCATTTGTTTATCTCCTCCGCTCTCGCTCTCTGCCACTGTAATAATAAACTATAGCTCAGTACTCTCTATGGCTTGTGTTCCATCTCTCGCGCCTTTCCTCTTTCTAATTTCTTTTTTCTAATTTCTAAACTTTTACAAAACAACAGTGGCAATAAGGAAGTTGAAATATATTGGCTCAGCAAACTTTCACACATGGAAAGTACATAATATAGTTTGTTTCTAGAGAATAAGCTGGTAGTGTAGAAAAATACCGTGACAATTATGGAAGAAATAGAACTGAGAAATTCTAATTCAGCAAATACAAGGGATAAAAACTACATCCATAGAGATAATGAGAGTTGAGTTAACAAAATGAATTTTTCCAAAGGAGATCCCAAAAATGTTACAAACACATGGAAGTATTGTTAAACCTCAGATAACTTCATACTTGGGAAGAAACTTCAAAAAACTAACCATTAGAACGTTTTGGTTTGGTTCCTCTCTGTAAGTACATTAGTCGTTAACCAATCATTTTAAAACATTCTCTGGAAAGTCAAGAAAAGTCAAGTAAACACTAAGCTTGTGATAGCATCTGTTGGAAATGCTCCAGGCATGAGCTGCTCTCTCTCCTGTACTTAATGTCTCAAGCGTCGATGTTAAGTTGAAAATAGGATGTTTTAGAGATGAGTGGAAAATAATAAGGGAAATTGGCACATTGTGTTCAAACCTCAAAGTAAATTCAAGCTGGGCCAATTCCAAACAATTTCCTTAGTAATAATTGTGTTTTATCCTCTGTCAGGGCCCATAAAGATGGCTCCTCTTCATCCTGCCTCAAGGTTAGAGAGTTCAAAACTGTCCTTAGTTAAGTCTAAAGACCTAAAGGTCTAAGGCGTGACTACTGCAGGATGTCTTGGTCTTGGTATCCATGTCTTATCTAAGTAACAACAGATATGGGCTCGGTTGTGTTTATTCTTGACCCTCAAGGCTGGATAACAGGTGTGGTTACCAAATGCTTGGAAGATTAAGAGAAGAAAGTCTGTTTTCTCCTTATACATGATAGTTGGGGTACTTAAGAATGCTGAAGAGGGAGGCAGAGGCAGGCGGATCTCTGTGAGTTCGAAGCCAGCCTGGTCTACAGAGCGAGTTCCAGGACAGCCTCCAAAGCCACAGAGAAACCCTGTCTCGAAAAACCAAAAAAAAATGTTGAAGAATAAACTTGGGGCGTTCAGTATTCACTGGGTTTCCCTCCTGAAGATTCTATCCTGTGTCTCTCTTCTTTTCATCTTTCCCCGCCCTTTCTAAATCCACACTCCCCGTCTCAGGGGCAAGCCTGGCAAGTTGGTTGAATCTGACTAAAGGCCCACAAACACGGGTTACCACAATTAGGGAAATTGATAACCCTCTAATGATAATTGCCTGTGAGTAAAAAAAAAAAATCACCCTATACTGGAACACAGCATAAAACTTTAAAATATTGATCTCCAAACCAATTATGGCCTCATTATGGAACGCATGTTTAAGTTTTACATATGCACATTTATGCCAAATATTAAATCTAGCTGTTTTAATATTTGTAACCTTTTGTATTTTCATGCAAATGTAGTACCTTCCAAATTTTCCATAAAATAAATGTATACTTGGGAGCTGGAGAGACAGTCTAGTGGTGGTTAAAAGTTCTTACTGCTCTCCTAGATGATCTGAGTTCAGTTCCTAGCACCCACATTGGGTGGTTTAAAACTGCCTGTGACTACAGTTGCAGGGGATCTGACCATGTCCTCTTCTGGAATCCACAGGCACTGACTGCCCATACCTACAAATTGGTGAATACCAGCGCCAACAGGAAAAATTTGGAAGTTGAAATTCAATACTGCCCAGTCTCAAAGTATCCATTCAAATACATATTGATAAAGCATTATACATTAATATTTATAATAAATATAAAAACAAAAGCCAAACATGGTGGCATACACCTTAGGGAGGCTAAGGCAGGTGGATCTCTGTGAATTCAAGACAAGCCCAGTCGACATGGAAAGTTCCAGGTCAGCCAGGGCTACATAGTGAGACCCTGTCTCAAACAAACCAATAAAAATCTTACTCTGGAAAATTCCAGTTGATACTACCTCAATTGTTTACAGCTACCTTCACTAGTTACAGGAAGTATCGACATATCCCACAAGCTGTGGCCTGATACATAATTTCATTTCTACAGTGTTCTGAGAAAGAAAAAAAACAGTAACTTGTAGGGGCAAAACCTCAACAAAGTAAAGAAGTTTGGCATGACAGCAATGAGGCATATCATCATGTGTCCTCTGGTATGAGGCATCTTAAAGAGCACAGTGTTCCCAAGGCAATTATGGCCAAATTGAATAATTTCAAGACGTCATGGATAAAAAAAAGAAAAACCAGAAGTCCAAAATTGAGGACATTCAACAAAAAAGCTGAAGTATATAAAGTCCGGGCTCGATGGTATAGCACTTGCCTTCCAAGCATAACACGATAGGTTCAAGTGCTAACATAGAGGATTTTTTAAAAGACATTGTCATAGTAACAGGAGAGTAAGAGACAGAACAAGGCAACATGATTCTAGACTGTAAACTAAAAAGAGATCAGCAAAAAAGTTTTATGATCTGACTGGTAGAGTATACCAAAATTAAAAGTGTTGATGATTATGTTATTGTGTGTACAATGTTAATATTAGGTGAAACTGGATGAAAGACCCATACTATTTTTGTGCCTCTTTGTCAATGCCTAAAAACTCAGAAAATGAACAGTTTCTCAAAAATATGCCACTTCATGTTTCCAGAAATAATCTGACTGTACTCCTTTCCCCATACTCTCTCGGACACTAAACTGTGTATGTACAAAAACAATTTTCATTCAACACTTCATACTTTTCTTACATTAGGTTTTCATTCAAGTCCTTCACCCAATTTTCTATTTGTCCTTAGGTATTCATTGTTGATCCTTCAAGAGTCCTTTTCATATTAAGCACATAATCTTTTTGTCTGAAATATTGAAAATGTTTTTCTCAGCATAGCTTTTCTTTTGACATCTTATTCTTTCTCTCACACTTTGCATCCTAACCAGTTTCCCCTCCCTCTACTCCTCCCAGTCTCTCCCCCTACCACTCCTCTCCCCCAGATATTACTCCTCCTGTTTCCCTTCAAAAAAGGGAGCAGGCCTCCCACAAATAGTCACTAAAAATGGACTAACCAGATATATAACAAGATTGGGCACAAACCCTCATATCAAGACTGGACAAGACAACCCAGTAGGAGGAAAAGGGTCCCAAAAGCAGACAAAAGAGTCAGAGACAGACCCTGTAGGCACGCACGCTCTCCCACCGTTGGGAGTCTCACAAGAAAAGCAAGCTACACAACCATAAGGTACGTGCAAAGGACCTACCTCAGACCCATACAGGGTCTGTGTGTGTCACCTCAGTCTCTGTGAGCCCTTATGAGCACTGCTTAGTTGATTCTGTGGGCTGTATTGTTATGCTGTCCTTGACCCCTCTGGTTCCTACAATCCTTCCTCTCTGGCTTATGCTTCCTCTGGCTCCACCTAGTGTTTGGCTCCTGTCTCTGCATCTGCTCCCATCAGTTTTAGCTTTTCTTTTCAATTTGGGTGCTTTTTTAGACAAAGTTGCTTTTTTTTTTTTTTAAATGTAATAAGATATCTGCCTTGTGATTCCCAGGTCATCTTCTCATTTCAAGATTATAAAATTCTTCTCTGTATTTGCTAAATCGAGATTACTGAGCCAGCCAGTCTTTGGTGGTGCATACCTTTAATCCCAGCACTCCGGAGGCAGAGGCAGATGGATCTTTGTGAGTTCAAAGCTAGCCTGGTCTACAGAGTTAGTTTAGTTCCAGGAGTCACCAAAGCTACATAGAAACCCTGCCTCGAAAAACCAAAAAAAAAATTACTGAGCTACGTATCTATCTTTTGGGGGTGACAACAAGAATGTGGGTAGGGAGTCTTGATATATACTACACAATACAATAATATAGATGTAATACTTTGTTACTTTAGTAAGCAAAAAGCATCGCCTTGTACCATGCCCCAAAGAAACCAGAAAAACTGTTTAACACCCTCTTTTGGGATAGTGCTCTTATTTTAGAGACTACTTTATATCTCTCTACATAGAATTGTACAGGTAACTACCTTTAGTAGGAATACCTTCATGGACACAAGGTAAAATGTCTGTTCCACTTTGAACTCCTAAAGCCTGTCTTCTCCAATAGTCCTTAAATTGAATGGTATCATCCCGGATTATGATCTACAGAGCACGAGCCAGGACTTATTACCTCTGCATCCCACTATCTTGCGGCTGTCTCATAGGACAAAAGTAATGGAAACCAACTCCTGGTGTGCCTTTTTTTCCTCACAGTTCACCTCAATCTTCATTTGTCTGAAACTAATTTTCAGGTAGGGTTTGTTTTTTAACATTCTATTCAGCAGACATTTTGAAAACACACTTAAGACAAAAGGTTACTGCTCTATTTGAGAAAAATGAGACATTGTAACTAAACACAAATCTTTAGTGTTGACTCACAAATTTTATATATATCGTGACAATGTCAATATTTCTTTGCAGGGTTAAATCTACAGTATTCTAATAAAATTTACACTTACCAACTTTGAAGCCTTATTTACTTATTTACTTACTTATATTTACTTATACCTACTACTTAGGTAGATATCTATACTACCTAAGCTCTACTGACAGTCTAGTTTTTTGGTTTTGGTTTTGTTTTTTGAGGCAGAGTTTCTCTACAGCTTTGGAGGCTGTCCTGGAACTCACTCTGTTGACCAGGCTGGCCTTGAGCTCAGAGATCCACCTGTCTCTGCCTCTCTCAGTGTTGGGATTAAAGATGTGCACCCACCCTGACAGTCTAGTTTTAATTCCAAAAGAAACTCATCTCAGCTAATAGTTCTATTACTACCCATTATTTTCTATAACTTCTCCCCCAGCTAATTAGTACACAGCTAGATATAGATTTGTCTAAACTACAAGGCAACTTCCAGACTTCAACTGAGACAGGAAGATAAATTCTACTTCTTACTAACAATGTTAAGGACTTTGAAGACAAAACAGTTTTTTTTTATTCTTTTTAGGTATACTCTTTCTATGTAGCCCAGACTGGCCTCAGACTTGGGAATCCTAATGCCCAAGTCTTCTGAGTGCTCTTATTACTGGTCATGTAGCACCTGAACAAAATATTAGAATGGAAGAAGTGAACTCAGTTTTAAAAAGGGACTTCTTCTCATAGATTAAGAACATTATATTAAGGCATAGAAGTATGCTAAGCCAGGGATAGAAGTACCAAATGAGCCAGTACTTACGTGTAAAATCAAAAACAGCCAAATTTGTAGAACCAGGAGAGAACAGTGGTTTACCAGGATCTGAGGAGAAATAAGGTTGTAGTAGTCAAAGGACACCAAGTTTCAGTTACACAAAATAATTCCTGGAGATCTATTCTGCAATATGGTGACTACAGATAACAATACTGTCTTGCACACTTAAAAATCTTGCAGGGAGAACTTTTGTGAAGTAGTTTTGTCAGCCATATGCAAATAAGATGAGAGGAAAATTTTGGGGGGGTGCTGAATTGGTTTATTTATAGACTGTGGTGATGATTTTACAGTGTACACTTATCTGTAACCTTATCAAGCTGCACACGTTAAATATATTCAACTCTATATACCAACCATGCCTCAGAACCCTTAAAAGATAGGATACTAATTATTGTCTATTTGTAGAACAATTGTTGTGTAGCTATTAACAGATCTCTCACAGTGAATCCGAATGAGCATGCGTAGCAATGAAGACGCCAAACAAGTCTACCCATTTCTCCTTTAGAAGTCTACACAGAAAGGAAAGGGAAGTAGGGGAAATGTATAGCTCACAAAAAATAATAAATAAAAAGGAAGTCTGTGTAGCTCACATTCCTTAAGACAGTTTTACGTGAGGGAGCTTTTCTTCTTCTGCCGTCAGTGGCAGATCCAACTTGACTGTTTAGAAGCACCCAATAGGTGACAGAAGCTTTGAAGACATGAACACTGCCATCACCTCAACAGCAGCTCAAGTATGTTAGACAATAAACTGAGGAAGAACAGGCACTTAACTGCCCAGCATCTGCCTAGCAAGTTGATTCCAGGAGTGTCCTGATCCCATGGACAAGCCTGGACTTCCCAAGGTTTCATTTAAAAGAGTTGAAGAAAGTACTCCAACGAAGTATTTGCTACTTAATAGAGCTTGCTGAGAGAGAATCTACTACAACCATGGCTTGCCACAAAATGTGAGCTTTTTTTTATTCAGAAGTCATAAGAAGTCACAGACAGACAGACAGACAGACAGACAGACACACACACACACACACACACCCTAATAGGCATGATCATGATCATAGACATGACAAACAGTTTCCTCTGTAAATGACTTAGGAAGAAAAAATAGAATCTATAGAAACAAGGTCTTTCAGCTAAAACACAGCCTGCTCCTGTGGTTCTGAACGTGTCATCAGGGAGTACCAGTGATTTACCCTCTAGTACTTACAGTCCTGCACATCTACTTCCAGTAAGGATGTATTATAGTTTCAGCAGAAGTGGGGTCAACCAAAAGAAATTGGTGCTGTAAGTCAGACAAAAAGGACCTTTATATAGTGTTGAAAAGAGTAGAAATTGGCCAGGTATGGTGGTAATCCCAGCACTCAAGGAGGCAGATCTCTGTGAGTTCGAGCTCAGCCTGATCTACATAGCGAGTTCCAGGACAGCCAGGGCTACACAGAGGAACAATGCTTTACAAAAAGGAATTTGGCAATGTGTAGCAAGAAGCCTTAAGTCATATCTCATGACCTGTTAAGATTGTGCTTCTAGGAATGTCTTTAGAAAATGAGAAATGGAGATACACACATACACACATAAAAAAGAAAGTGAAATACAGCTATCCTGTGGGAGAGATACAAGAAAACTAGGAAAGACCACAAAGGGACACTGGTAAAATAATGCTATACTTGTGGTATCAAATACCATACAACCATTAAATACCCATTGTTAAAGAAGAGTTTATGGATGTGCGAAAATATCCGAGGCATGTGAAATAAAACTGGTTTAAGATGAAACTTCAGGTACAACACTCTCTGAAATTCATGGAAGCAATACCCCAAAATGGAGGTGTCTAGATTGTGGCTGTTTACATCTTAACCCTCAATTTCCCCACACTCTCTAAAGCTTCCACAGAGAAGGTATGCCTTACATTACTACTAATAAGGTAGAAACCTAGCAACAGTCTTTCAATTATTTCTAGTGTGTGCTACGTGTGTGTGCTGATAAGTGACAATATGTCCCCAAAGGTGTTTGACCCGACTCATGGGAATAAGTGATAGTTAAAAAAAGCCTGGTTGATTTTTTTCTGTTTGTTTGAGACAGTTTCTCTGTGTAGATCTGGCTGTCCTGGAAGTCCCTATTAGATAAGACTGACCTTGAACTCACAGAGATCTGCCTGTCTCTGCTTCCTGAGTACTGTGACTAAAGGCTTTTTTTTTACTTTAAATGTAGTAATGGAAGTAGATTGGATCCTTCCTTTATATTATTTGTTTGTTTATTTATTTGGTTTTTTGAGACAGGGTTTCTCTGTGTAGTTGTGGCTGTCCTGGAACTCACTCTGTAGAGCAGGCTGGCCTCGAACTCAGAGGTCCACCTGCTTCTGGCTCCTGAGTGCTGGGACTAAAGGAGTGGACCACTACCATGCAGTTGATACTTCCATTTTTAAACCAGATTTAAAGTCAAATAAACAATATTTCTTATTGTAACTATAACGCTAAGTTTTTGCTAAGCCTAGGTCTCCTTGCCATTCCCTACCCTAAAATGAGACTAACAAAGGCACAGGATTGCTGCAGTTCACTTAGTTGCAGCCCTCAGCACAAATTCATAAGTAAATAGTAGCCAAAAAGAAAGAAAAGAAAAACACACTACTGTTTTGGCTCTACGGGAGTCACCCCCAGAAATACTTTAACTGCCACTAAGTTAATAGTATCAAAAAGCCAACAATCATGAAGTGTTCCACACACAATTGAAAGTGTGGGTCATTTCTGTGGACACCACAGTTCCATTTACCTTTTCTATGAAAACAAACAAGAACACAAATAATAGAAGACAACTGCATAACACTTGACAGGTGGCACATCATACATTCTCATTCCACAATGAAAACATTTCTAGTTGATTGACCAGTCCCAACCCCCTATCTATGAAGCCTATAAGTACTCTTTTAATATGTGTGTGGGGGAGGGGGGTCCTGTGTGCCTGTGTCTGTGTGTGGAGTAAACACAGACTCTTGTTTTTCTACACTGGTAAGCAGAGGATATTTGAAGAGACGGGATTTCAATAGTAAACTCTACTAATCCTGGCTTACCACCTGGCCTCTGGGAACAAATATTCAATTCTGGAGGCTATCACCTTACCTAACAGTCTTGCTTCAGATGTCCATACAACTGTGAGACCTTGCAAATATGTACTGGCTGACTTTGCAAAGCAGGGCTCAAAAACCACTGATTTTTTTTCTGTCCCTCAAAGTTTCCATTTCCAAATGTTTGGGGCAACAATAAAATATCATTAAGTAATCTCACTTCCTGTAAGGCCAACATGACTATGACACTGTCCTGCAATAACCTCGGCAGGGCCTTGCTACAGGAAGTTCACAGCCCTGGCAATTATGAAAGGAATACAAGGGCCGTGCACGTGATTTTATTGCAATACGCAACAAGAGATTTCCTCAAAACTACATAATGCATGCCCACGTTAAAGGAAACTGTTCCACTGCTTATATGGAAGTGCATGAAACCAAAACCAGGATCCATCAAGAATGGATTAAAACTAGGTTGATCCCATTTCCCGGCTTGCCAAAGAGTGTCACTGAGTTACACATGAGTCCCCAAAGAGCAAAATCAAACTCCTTCTCTTTCGGGAGAAGTGTCTCTAGTTATCCCCTACTTTAATTCCCACATACAGTAAATAAGGATGTTTAGTCACAGTAGCCAAAGCTAGTCTTCACTGTACAAAACACTTCCAGGTAAACACTCCTCTTTGAATTCATAGTCAAGAAGCCCCCTTTGTCTCTATCACATACGCATGCATAAGGGTAGACATGCGCGTGCACACTACAGACTTCCAAAATCTACTACAAGTTTAGTTATGTAAAAGTGAATATTTGTAATCCAGCTAAAATCTAGAATAATGATAGATAGATAGATAGATAGATAGACAGACAGATAGATAAATCAGATGCATTGGAAGGGATAGCTCCATCGATAGTTTGTTTTGTTTTTTTACATTCAAACAGATTTAAAAGACGATACTGCTATTTTTGAAAATGAGTTCCAATTTCACTTTAAAAATCAGAAAAATACTGCCAAGTTAACTTTATCAAACAATGGTTCTCCACCTTTATAAGTAATGCACACTTTGTGCTGTTTTGTAAAAATACATAACCACTTAAAATTTCCCATCTATAGTTTTCTGGAGACCTTAGAAATGCCTATCAAATAATGCTTGTCTGACAACCAGCCAACGACAAAAGACTAAAGCACATCTGGATGTCTGTACACTAGTGCAGCGCCTATAGATGGAGTTGCTGGAACGCTAAGAACCTGGGTCTCTAGTGCAGCCTACCAGTCAGCAAATGAAGAAATGCGAGAAAAGCCCACTGACTCACAGGTACAGTGAGTGCTCTGCCCAAGGTTAAGGCTCTGATTCAACACTGCACACCAGCTGAGAGACAGCCTGCAAGCAGGAGTCAATATGCCACCACTAGACAGCCTTGGCTGTGCCACTTACGGGAGGGAGGTGACTTCTTAGCTCCCAGTTGCCACCAACTATAAAATGGAAAGAACATGGCTAATATACACAGCATTTGCCATTATGAACTTCAAAGTTCTCCTAAGCATTAACTTTCCTCTTTCGCCTCCTTTCCTAACACACACTGTTCCTCTTCCATGAATACTCTGTTCTCTCTTTCTGGCTTCCTTTAGGTATTAATTTAAGCAGGACTGATAGAAACCTTTTCTGACTGCCCATTTATGTCATATACAATGGGCACTGGGCCCCAAAGCATCCTTGAGCACGGACTTAAACTTCTCTAAGTTTTTGTTCTGCCTTGGTTCTCCCACTGAAGATGGAGGTCATACTGGTCTTGATCACTGTACCACTCGGACCCCATACAGATGCAGTGCTGGCTCCAAGTAGATTCTTTTTAAAACAGATTTATTTATTTATTATGCACAGTGTTCTGCATGCATGCAATGCATGCCTACAGGCCACAAGTAGGCACCAGATCTCATTACAGATGTCTGTGAGTCATTGTATGGTTGCTGGAAATTGAAACGAGGTCCTCTTAACCTCTGAGC